GTGACTGTTCAAAGAACACTGCAGTGATGTGTTTTTACAGGGATCATTGGAACTGCTGTCCCACCAGCCCACAAGAAAGGGGGCTGGGAGGATACACCTCAAAACAGTTTTCTCTCCCCAGTGCAACAAAGCACTGCACGTAAGCGCTGAAAGGTCACAGCACTAAAGAAAGGACAAATGGAGATCCTCCTTTTGATCTTCTCCCATGTCATCTGCAAACTTGTAACCTGGGAAACTCCCTGGTTAAAAAACAAAAACCAAGTTCCTTGGGCGAGGGCTCAGAGAGGAAGCAGGATCAGAAAGTAGGTGACCTGTCCAAGATCACGCTGCAAGCCGACAGCAGAGCCAGAACTGGAACACAAGTCCCCTTACCTCACGGCTCTTCTCTACACTCAGGGTTGTCCAAGCCCCATCAACACCAGGAGAGTGCACCACCATTATGGCATGCCCAAGAACAAAGGTTCGGCCAGAATGCGGCTTTCTTCTCCATCCAAACTGTTTACAAGCTTTGTAAACAAAACTACTAATCAGCCCAAAATAGGAAAAACAACTTGAGAACTAACAAGGACTGGGAGAAGTATGTATTTTCAACTGCCATTAACATGAGACATTGAAATTTTACTATTATATCTCCAGGAATGCTCTGACTTCTAACCAACTCCCCTCAGCACACCTCCTTTTCTACCTCTCATACAAGGACCTAAGGAAAGATTTTGAGAGTGACAAATTTAAACATCTGGTCTGCGTGTCTATGCTTTCTGCATCACACCCGTCAACATGATCACCTCATTCTGAACTTGTTATTTATCCCACCAATGCAAATGCAGATGATTTAGTGGCTCCATCTGCTTGTCACAGGTGCCCAGACACCTCTGCTATATTGCTCAATGAATGGCTTTAGGCATAGCAGCCCAAACATGAAGTGTGTTATGTTAGAATTTTTATCCTTATGGAAAAATACTTGCTGCAAACACCCAATGGTTCTTTGAATATTGCATTAAGTACATACATATATTAAATAAAAATCTGGTCTTTTTCTGAGATTCTAACACTGCACTGAATTCCAAGAAGCTTGCAGATTCCAAAGATTGGAAAAAGGAAGCAAGAGTGGAAAAATGGGCAAGAAATCTCTATTCAGTGAGTTTCTGAAGTGCACATAAACAAACTACATATTTAGTTTATTCAGCAAAATATGAGAGCACATCAAAAGTGTTCCTGAGTAATAAAAGAACAGATTAAAAAAAAAAGAGGAAACATACGTATTTTTTCCAGTTGACCACAGCTCAGCACCACATAACAGTACTTCTTGTTCCCACATCCCACAGATCTGTGGCCAGGATGTGGGCATCTGAACCTGCATTTGGGGCTCCAGAGAGCCATGGGACCTCCACACACCTCCCAGCTTGCAAGACTTACAAAACAGCAGAAGATAAACCTCCATCAAGATAAACCCATTACTGACAGCAGGATACTTCCACATGATAAAATACCAATCTTAAAAACACAAGATAGGCGCTTTGAGAAACAAAGTGGCCAAAATGTTATCAAATGGACAGGATGGATTGCTCACAAGCATGGAGAGCTTGATGATCATCCAAGCAGACAGCTCCTAGAAGCTACTGTATGCACGCTTAAAATCAGAAGCTGTAACTTGGAGCAAGTAATCCAAAAAACACTCTAAGGGTTATCAAAATACAAAGACCTGCAAGAGAGCTGCAATCAGTATAGGTTTTCTTAAAATTACCTCTGCCATAAGCTTTCCACTACAATTTCCACTTCTGTTATGCATCATTTGTTTGAAAGGACTGGGTGGCTACTGCTTTACTTAATCAGAAACCAACAATTCTGATCAAGAGTGGATGCATTTAGTTCTAAGTCTATAAACAGTTTCTCATATATATAATCTCCAGCTGTATATAAAAATGAAAAGTATTTTCACACAATTCTCAGAGCTTAACACTCAACTAGCATTCACATTGGAGCAGTAACATGTCAGTGACTACAGTAGTGCAACTGCTCCACAGTAATTGTGAAGCTACTAACACCAGTAAAGAACTCTAGAATGGTTTTTTTAAAGAAATTCCCTTCCCTATGAAGAGAGCACCTTCAGAGTACAGTAACTTAAGCAGCACATGGCATTTACATTTTCATCTAATCTCTAAAGCAGCCCATTATTTCCTTAGATTTGAAAACAAGAACCCTGCTTTATTTCACCACACCAGCTATAAATTCTTCATTAATTCTGTTTGCTAACTCTGTAACTAAGCCCAGATGTTACTGCTGGAGAGGCATTCCATAAGAGAAGTTAAATATAGCAAGCTGTGTGGAAGGAGCAAGCTCTCTCTCTCTCCCCACACCAGAACATGGTCAAATATTACTTGAGAGAAAATAATGAAAGCATTTGAAAAATATTCACAGTATGTGATCCTGTGAAATGCCACAGTCTGATCATGAAATTTCACATAAAAGAGCTCCCACACATTCTATTTGGGTGTAACTGAAGTTGCTGGTCCTGTCTCTGGGAAAGGTGCTGGCACTTTCACTCACCAGAGTAAACAAGAAATTTACAAGCAGAGGAACACTCCTTGTTGTGCATCATTTACAAATCATGCATTATTTTGAAATATAAATCAAGACTAAGTTTTCAATTACAAGAAACCCTTCTGAGCCAGCTACCAATGGCAATAACCATACTGATGAAGAACTGAGAGCATCCTATGGAGCTTCTTACATGGAAAATTACTGGTGGGAATTTTACATTCATTTCAGTACTTCAGAAGAACTTCAACCATGTTACATGAGCAAAGAGATTAATTTTGACATTTATAATTCAACACTAAGAACAGAGTCCTGTTGAACAGAATGGAAACTACCACCTTCACCCATCCATTCAGACACCATTATGATTTCTAGTAATCTTCAGCAACTGACCTAAACTGGTTAGGAAATGCCTATTTTAAATTAGAAATTATTTCTAATGATTATGTAGTTGCAGAAAAAGCAAAAGATACAGGGTTGAACATCACAGAGCTACATTATTTGGAATTTAGAGGCTATTGTCAGGCACACGATGCTGCTTCACTCATGAACAATGATCACAGGAGAGATTCTGAGAGTCATCTAGTCCCTCTGCTCCTAGGCAAGATAAAGCCTATTTAAATGAAAATTTGCCTCATCTGTTCTTTATGACTTCCAGTGTAACAGAATCTGTAACATAACTTTGCAGAAGTAAGGTATTCTGGGGAAGCTGTTAAGACTGCTGTGGTAATGACACCACTGCCTTGGTACCAGCTGCTGTCATCCAATTTTGCTGCACTTGCACCTTTTAGCCAAATCTTGTTGCATTTTAACCACCTGTGTCCACGGGAGGCTTTGCAAAATATGTTAAGTTCAATTGTACTGTTAACAGAGAACACCTTCCCACTAGTGAGCAGATGGGCAAACAAACAAACCTCATATACTATTAGCCACCTTATGACACAATAAATCTCTGCTGGCTGTTCCTAAAAACATGAATGTATCGGCAAAGTCATAATTGTGGCACAGGAAGGCATTATCAGTATCAGCTTTAGTCTCCTCGGTGTCAATAATGTTAGGAATAATGGAGTGGTAGCACAGGTAAACAACCTCAGGGCAAGAAATATCTTTATTCTGGCCCACACTGACAAAAGTTTTCTTACTTCTGGTAGCTACATAAAATTAGCACAAGCAACAGCTACCACACCACAGCACGTCTACCATGGGCAATGACCTTTCCATTTTGCTGTGCAGACAGACCTTAGGGACATCTCACTTCTACTTCAGAGATCAGCTGGAAAGCAGCCAATGAGAATAAAACCAGAGCAAATTTTATTTAAGTTAGTCATCCCAGCAGCAACTCACAACTCAGTCCACCTATATGAGGAAACATTTCCTCTCCAACTTGTAAGGAAGAAGACAGTTATGCAACATGAAACCTAGAAACTGGACCCAGTTACAGCACATGTGGGAGATAGAAGATGACAAAGGATCTGGAGGCTCCCAGAAAATAAAGACCGTATGTTGGAAAGTCTTCTGTGAAACCTCTAGGGAGGGAGAAGGTGGGGAAGGGGAGGAGGAGGGAAGAAGAGGGCACAGAGTGCAGGTGTGAAGCACCAAATGGAGTCAAAACAGAAGAACAGAAACCACATTAGATAACCCATCTTGAAAAATCCTTTCCTACTATATGGGGGAACATTACAGCAAAATTTCTAGTGCACTGCTGAGTAAATTTTTTTTGTGGAGCAAAACCAGCACCTGGTGCATTTCCTGGTTTCTGCATGGTAACAGAAGCATCAGGAAAGTTTCAGTTCTGATAATTAAATTTAGAAAGTGAAACATCAAACCTGATGTACTTTATAAGCAAAGTCTTAGCTACAAATTATATATAGCTAAGTACAATCATCCAAAGTTACTGCTTTTAGGTTTAAGCAAAAGTCAGGCCCTCATAAAGCTGCTGGTATACCTAAATTTGTGCCTAATTATCTTTCCACAGGTACTGTGTTTGAAAACAGGAATATAACCTTAAATTAATGGGTACTCGAGAAAGAATTCAGCATGCAGCTCACTTTGTAATTATAAAAAATTTATGGGAAAAGAAAGCCATACTTAAGACCTACCTGCTTGTATGATCTGCTACTTCAGCAGAAAAAGAAATGGTACAAGTAAGAATTCTTGGTGTTTAATTTGTACTGATTTCTATTACAGTAAGCTAAAGCAATTTAAACAACCCATATCTAAAAAGGTCCTGAGAATCTCTCACTTTTGGGAGTCTTATCTGGCCTGCTCATTTAATGTACACATATAGATTATTATATTCCAGCAAAATTAGGACCAGATGGAGTTTTGCTGTAAGCTTGATTTTTCCTTTCCTTTTTTTCCAAAGAAAAGACTTGTTCTCTGCTCTTTTTTTTTTCCTCCCCACAAAGAAATAACAAACATATTCAACATCTTAAAACAAGAAAGAAGAAAAGAATGTTTACTTTGGTTGTGCTAAGCAGCCAGGTGCTATAATACCGCAAGTTTCATCTGCAGTCCGCAGTGCTGTAAGTTCCACCATGTTAACCATCACATCAGTCTTGTGGCCAGGAAGTTTGGGAAGCGCAGAAAGTATCTTCTCTGCAAGATTGTCGCCATGATGACCAACTGCCCCTAGGGGGGAAAAAAGACCCCAAAACTGTCAGATGCACAACTAGAAGGAAAAAGCAACCACTCTGAAGTAACTGAGAACGAAACAATAACCACTTTTTTTTTTTTTTTTTTTTTGAGGAGAAGGACACTGGTAGTCATAGCATCAAGAGTACATTAAGTTTTTCAAAGATACTTTGTTACAAAAATAAAACTGATTTTTCTGGAATGTCTGAAGTTAAAAGCATTGATAACATTTGAGAAAGATTCATTTAAAAAGTATGAATCTGACTTAGTTTAACAGCTGTTAGATATTCAATGACTTTGTACTTAAACATGCAGAATATTTCTCCTTGCATAAGAAAGTGGTTAAAAAAGATCTTCAATGTTTATTTTAAAAATCAAGTAAACATGTATACATAAATACTTACATGCAAGCTATACTTTTCTACCTAAATTAACATGACTGGGCTTAAAAGGTCTGTATGCAAGTTGCATACATAGCTAGCATAATATTACAATAAACAAATATCAGCAACATGCCACCATCAATCATTTCTATACTGACTGAGGGTAGCTCAGGTAAAACCAGCAGGAAATAAATAAACCAAATCAAGATACATAGTATAAAATGTCAATTTGACCACGTTCCAAGAGCAACTCCTAATTCCAGTTGGCACGGCCTCTTCAAGTCTCCCGATTTCAAACACCGATGCTCTTTCCATTCACAAACTCTCAACACAGAATCATAGAATCACAGAACAGTTAGAGTTGGAAAGGACCCCAAGATCACCAAGCTCCAACCCCCCCGCCACAGGCAGGGACACCTCGCTCTAAATCATATCACCCAAGGCCTTGTCCAACCTGGTCTTGAACACTGCCAGGGATGGAGCATTCACAACCTCCTTGGGCAACCCATTCCACTGCCTCACCACCCTAACAGGAAAGAATTTCCTCCTTATATCCAATCTAAACTTCCTCTGTTTAAGTTTTAACCCATTACCCCTTGTCCTATCACTACAGTCCCTAATAAAGAGTCCATCCCCAGCATCCCTACAGACCCCCTTCAGATACTGGAAGGCTGCTATGAGGTCTCCACGCAGCCTTCTCTTCTCCAGGCTGAACAGCCCCAACTTTCTCAGCTGATCTTCATATGGGAGGTGCTCCAGTCCCCTGATCATTTTTGTGGCCCTCCTCTGGACTTGTTCCAACAGATCCATGTCCCTTCTACGTTGAGAACACCAGATAGGCACTACAATCAACTTATAAAAATATTAAGACTATGAGCCAAGCCAAAGCAGAAAAACATGACATACTACATATGAAAAAGTTGTAGAGGGGGACCAGAAACCTTATTGCCTTTAAGTCAGGAACAACTGAATGTATTTTATTCTGCCACTTTAGCTGTTTTCCAGCTATAACCACAGGGTTTGGAAAGCAGTGGTAAGCTTAGAATTGTTCTCCTGGCTTGACGCACAGAAGAATGGGAACTTCTGTGTGGCAGCAAAATAATCTTTCAGGCTATGGTCCCACTCCATGAAAGTCTGTCCATATGGCACCCCATCTGTTCTCACTTTTCATCATTACCAAGGACAGAGGAGCTCTGTTTCTACAGCTGAAGTAGCTTCACATGCTCCATAGATCCAAACAATGCCTTCACATTAAGAACTTTAGGGGGGTCAGATTATTAACTGCTCTTGGATAAGCAGAATTTTGTCTTCAGCAAATCTACAGCACCAAGATATCCATGCTTTAAAACCACCTCATAGCTTATTAACTACTCTGAATGGTAGAAGCTGGAAGGACAAGCAAGGGAGGAGAAAAGTAAAGTCAGACTCCATGCTGGCAATGTCTATCCACAGAAGACAAAGAAAGCACATGTGCCCAGCACATGGTCATACTGCAATGCGGACACCTGGCTGCTCAGCTGGACTGAAATTACCAAGTTGTTTCACGAAAGATTGTAATAGTCATAGATTGACAGCAACTTTCCTTTCTACCATCCTTAGCCAAATTTAGACCACTGAAGTACAGATGAAACGAGCTGAGTTGTCTCTGCGATTCTCTAAGCCATCTGCTCTCCAAAATCCCTACATTCTTCTTACTAGGTCAGTCACTTGTCAGCCACGCTGCAGTTATCAACACTCACAAAGCTACAGACAGGGAAAACAGATGGTAATCTTCTGAACCTCCACCCCCTCGTACTGGAAGCAATGTCTATCTCTCCACACTTGCTGCGTGTGAGCATCATTTAGCTAGACAAGACATTTAGCTAAACTGGAAACACCTCAAACGCAAATAAACCCACATTGATTATTTAACATACCTCCTTTCTCCCTGGCACGGGGTAAAGTCTCAGAGTTGCTTTTGTGATCCCACATTGTGATCTCGGTCTCTTTCTCACAACTGCTAGTCCTTAGAGGCTCTCATTGGTCTGCCAGCACTAATGGCTTTTTCTGTGCCTCATCAAATCAAGCAAAAAACCCCACTCTCCTTGAAGTTTTAAAATCACTATTGCCTCCAACCAACTGCAGAAAGCAACCAATGCTTGAAAGACAGTTATACTTCATGAGACTAGGACAGGAAATCGCAGGGAGTCGCTTTTCAATTTCACTGACTTCAGGAGGGTCTATGGGACTGGTTTACATCCTCTCTCGTCATCACTGTTGAGGACAGTCAACTGGCTGCTCAGCAGCTTCTCATGACTAACAGCATTCAAGGCAGCTGGCACCACACACAAAAAACCTAACACAATTTCCCCCTCCTCCAAAAAAACACCCAAACAAAACCAAAGCCCTTGTAGAACCAGCAGTAGGAGCACAGAAGCCCACAGCCAAGCACAGCAGCCTCAGAGCGCGGACAGAGAAATACGACAGATTCCCTATCTCTCATAGCCAGCTACTGCAACATATGTAAAGAGTAGTAAATTTGGAGATAAGAAACACGCATCTGCTAAGGCTCATGTAATTTCCAAGTCGCCTGTTTCCAAGTTCCCTTCACTGACCTGGCCACCTGCGGTTTTCTTTAAACAGGCAAAACTCAATCTGTTTATTTGCTTATCTCTGCAAAGACTCCATAACAAATTTAACATCTGAAGCTTTCAAAAAACTACTATAAAAAATTGTGTACCTACCCCAGAATAGCAGAATCTTTACAAACCATGCCACAGCAGAGGCTGTACCCTGACCTGCAATACTGAGTTGACATCACTTGAATATTTTCAGCTGCCATCACTCCTCACAGCTGCAGCCTACAACCTTAAATGACCATAATAATTTCAACACTAGTTATATCCTGTGTCAAAGCCTGGTTCATAAAAAGGGGACTACTGTATTCTACATGCCTCAGTGTTTATGTTTTCAAACCCTTGGCTTCTATGGTAAGGAAGAAAAAAACCATGGTTTTGTTTCCTTTAAAAAGGCATTAGTATCAATACACCAATGCATCAACTTCGAAGATGCTGCAATTAAAAAAAGCACAAGTAAAGCACTCCAAATTAGAAACACAACAAATGTAATGAAAGAAATAGAAAATTACAAACAGTTTAAAACAAAAATATCCAAAAAGAGCTATTAGTCAGAAACAGACTTTATCAGAAATGTATGGGCCTACATTAGCCTTCATTCTCATCCTCCTCTATGAATGGGATTATGCAGTAGTACAATTGAAGCATGTCACAACTTCGTCATCACTGTGGTTGCTCCCAGGAACTGAAAAGCTACACTTTGTTGATAAGCGCCTGAACTGTGCTTTTTGTATCTGTTAAAAGGCTATAAACATTACAATCAGCATGCAGGTGAGAAGCAAAGATGATGCCTGGCTGACAGTAAGAGAGATGATACAGAAACTTAAACCCAAGTTTACAGTTACACTGTGGGGAAACATTCCTGTGACTTTGACTGATACACACAAAAATCGATAGAGGAAGATAAAACTGCTGTTACTGACAGCACTGAAATATCAACCTTAAACAACACTCATACAAGGTTATTATTCAAAACTATACATAACTGCACAGGCACATCCCTGCTATTCATTATCCTGTCTTTTGCTCACTCTATCGCATTTCAAAATCACCTGCACATACCAGTGGGCGAGACCTCACTATCTTCTACAGTTACAACAGCCCACATCCCAAACAATCCAAAGCACCAAGAGACTGGAAAGAGAAATATGTCAGGCTGTTTTGAACACCAATATCTGAAAGGTATCGATGAGCTTACAGATGAAAAGGGAAAGCTGGAAAAACTACTTCATGATGGTGTGAAGCTGTCAAGGTGGTGACTAAGAAACACATGCAAGAAGCATGAGGTTACAGTATGGTATCACAATGCACATATCTAGGGGCACAAATATTAGAGGAGAAAAACAAAGAGGAATTAAGGTGTTAAAATTAGCTCTGACTTTAACCAGTGTCACTTGTCAGAGCATCACTCTATCTGGGAGGATTGATTCTGCTTTTTAAAGCAAAGGTAGCAAATTTTAAAACAATAAGTAGGCAAACAAAAGCAGCACTACACATACATACAGGTTAGGTACAGCACCATTAGCTAAGCTTTATACAATCAGAATTCAAGAAGTGAGCAAGAGTGAGAAGTACAAAGCCTCCAGACTCCCCAGGATATAAAACCACGTCCCACCTACCAGGGCACTGCTTTATCCGTAAGATCCTACATTGCAGGAACAGGCGGTATTCATGCCATCTGCAGTTGAAGCCATGCCACTGTAGTGAGGGCAGCAAAGGCTAAAAGATGATGATCCCTGTTACAGCTCAGATGAATGTTACGCCATACAGGGCAAAAAGGAAAACTGTTTACCTTAACTCAGTATTTTCCTTATTCATAAAATACAGCATGCATAAGCAATGCTGAACACACACATACACAAAAATAGATTCTAGAAAGTATTCAGAATCCAAAGTATTCAGTGCAAATTTTAGAGTAATAGCTCAGAAGGGATTTTTTTTGCTTCATGGAAACTAGAAAGCTAAGTCACAGTAAGTTGCTTTCTGATTTTTTTTTTTGATAATGTGCCATTTTATATGTACCTTTTTTTTTTTTTTAATAATTGTCACAACAAAGATAATGCAGTTTCTTGACACTGGAAGCACAAGTTCTTTACCAAAATGTACTTAATGCTTCTTTAATGTGTTCTTTGAAGTGGAAAGTTTAAGTACTAGTATTTTCCCTTAGTTCAGTTGTTTGCAATTGCAGCACCAGAAAAGGCACTTTTGAGACATTTCGGTTTTTACTATTAGAAATCAAATGGTATTACAGAAAACTGTTTTGTTATTCTAGCCTAACACCTTATCTTATAGATAAGAATGGAATGTGAGCCAAAAATAAGACAACCATTGCACCTCCATTAGACATAGAATCATAGAATAGTTAGGGTTGGAAAGGACCGTAAGATCATCAAGTTCCAACCCCCGTACCATGGGCAGGGACACCTCACACTAAACCTTATCACCCAAGGCTCTGTCCAGCCTGGCCTTCAGCACCACCAGGGATGGAGCATTCATAACTTCCTTGGGCAACCCATTCCACTGCCTCACCACCCAATCATCTAGAAGTACCATCTGCGTTTCATCCAGGTCTTCAAGTAAGAAAACAGCTGGCTTCCTGATAGCCTGGTAGTGATTCAAAGTCACCTGGTTCAAAGCAGTAGCCTGACTTAATCAGAGTAGCCCAGCACCTACCCTTAATGAACTTCCAAGTTTTTTTAGAAGTGCTTGGAATATGAAAGCATTCTCATAATTCATGGATAGGTAACTGTTTCTCACATGTGCAGCCCACCTGTTGGACAAGATTCAGGAGTCAGTAAGACACTTACAAATCAAATCCAAAATCTTGCACCTTTAGAGAAGGAAGATTTAAAATGTTTCATGAAATGAGCTGCAAATGACAGTCAACCTCAAAGACTTCCAACTGCACTGAGCTGCTATTTGGACAAAACAAAACAAGACAAAAAAAAACAACCAAACAATCAACCAGCAACGAAAAAAACAAACAAACAAACACACCAAAATAAAACCATAAGAAACCCCAAAACTTATTTTTACACTGCTGCCTGCAAATATAGATCATAGCTTGGGGAAAAAAATAAATCCAATGGCCCAGTTGCCAATACCAAGCCAGAAACTTGCAAATAGGAAGCTTTAGCTTTTACAGAGTGTAAAGCTGAACTTCAACAGACACATTCACGTGAAGGCCAAGCAGCAAAGTCAGAGAAGGCCAAGGGAAAGAGTACATAAAAGGCTGAATACACCTGAGAAAATAAAGGTTTCAGGTACAACTTAATTCTTCCATTTCCTACCTCTTGATAACTGATATGCTGTTCTTTTTATGTACTTTTTACAGCACTGGCAAACCAATGAAACAACTCTCACTGTGTGGCACTAAATTCAGGTCCATACAGTGCTTTACTTCTGAAATACACTAGGTCTTTCTTCCTTAAATTTGCACTGTACTTGATAGCAAGAGTACAGTACCATGTCCAAAGCATAAGAAGGCCTCAATGAAACTGTCAATGAATTCTGGAGACAACTGTTGGTAATGAAAGAATGGCTGCACGAGAGGATCTTGGTTTCAGTTGCAGCTACTAAAGAGTATATTCCTAACAAAATAATATTTTAATTTTTCATCCTTACTTCAAGAGCTGATGCACACACCACACCCCACACACCCCCCCCCCCCAGCTGCCCTATCACAGCCCTGATGTTTTCTCCAAAAAACCTTCTCCTCCTGCTGAGTACAAGGTCCCAGACTTCACTTCCCAGATTTAAGCTGGCACCAATTATCTCTCTTCATGCCTCCTCAACAGACTCCTTGTCAGGCAGCAACCTATCACCCACAATTTCCAGTTCCCTTTCTTATGTTTAATTCTTCCCACCACCTGAGTACAAAAATCCTCATCCAATTTCACTTCTTCCCACCTTAAGCAGACACTTGTCTCATGGTTTCATTCCAAGCCCACACTCCTTCAGGCCTCCCAGCAATCTTCCTGCAGCACAACATTAAACACCCAGATTCACAGGTGCCCTTCAGTGCACTGTTGAGAGCTATGAATCCTACAGCACTGCAAGGATACACAAAGCCAAAATTAAGGGGGTAAAGAAAAGGCAGAACAAAATTAATAAACAGATGAGCTGCAGGTGCAAAACCGTGCCAAGCACTTGCTTGTGATGGCAAAATTATGACCTGAATTATTGAGTACTACTGCTACAATTACTGTTGAATTATTGAGTGCAGGTAATGAAAACAGAACCTGGCCCACACACTGTATATGTCAACAGGTATATATGATGGTGTAAGCAAAAGCAGCTACTTTCATATCAATTACTACTCGAGTTTACTGTTCCTTCTAAAAGACGGTTATTTCAAACTTTTCCTGGGTCACTGGCCCATCACCCTGCTGGCGACTCGCTCAACCACTCCTTCCCTTTCTGCCCTTATGATCCCATCTTACCAGCTTGAAAGACTTTACCTCACTTACAAGCTTGACAGTTGATTACAATACTAAACATTCTCCTTCTGACAGTTTCCCAATGGACTCTCATACCACTTTCTATGCTTCTTTTGCGTCAATTCTGCATTAATTGGCAGAATTAAATTCACCATATGGTTCATTCTTACGCTCATTTGCTTCCCAGAAAGTGTTCTATAAACAATTCTGTATTGCTTTCACTCAAGCATAATGTTTTCCAAGTTAACACCACCAGCCATGTGCAACTGCTTCACTCAAAGACCAAGTGTAAAGCACAACATATAAAAACTATATACATGCAGAGACACTTTCAGACATACATAAACAGCTAAGTGCATACAAGATGTATATATATTTACACCAGTATAAAGCTAATGTTGGTAAGTAGATACACTGGTGCTTCGCAATACCCACAAGGCACAATGTGAAACACGCAGACCATTTCCCTCACACCTCGGGATGACACACAAGTACTGCTAAGGTCTCTAGTTTGCAGCACAGTTAAGTGCAGAAACAAACCCTTGTTTCTGTCAGAGCCTTCTGCTTCACTATTTCCATGATTCAGTGGGGAACAAGCACATACGAGCAGCCACCTCGGCCATGGTGCTGAACATGCTCCTAGGACTCCTGCAACTATATAAAAACCCTCCCGATGGAGCAGATGTGGGTCCGTGGGGATGACAGCCCCTAGCAGCAGTGGATTTCTTACCAGCGAGGTCCAACGTCCTGTCCACGAAGACGATGGCGGCCTTGCTGGTGGCCATCCTCCTCCTGTTCCTGGCTGGGGCGTAGTTTGCGAGCTCAGCAGCAACGACCCTGCTGAGGGCCCCCACGGCGAAGCTCTCCTCCCGCAGGCCCATCGCGGTGAGGAAAGCGTCGAGGTCCTCCACCAGGGCCCGCACCGCCGCCCGCACCTCAGCAGGGAGGGCGCCCACACCGACCTCAGCGGGGCTGGGCCCGCCGGTGCCGGGCAGAGGCGGGAGGAACGCCGGCAGGCTGGGAAGCAGGCACAGCTCCGCCGAGACAGGCGCGAGGAGTGGAGGGCCCCGCAGCACTACCTCGGCGCGGCCACCTTCCCCCATCCACCGCTGCAGCGTCTCCTCAAGCTCGGCAGGGCCGCTACCCTCCTCCTCGCCGCCGACCACCAGCACGCAGTGCCGCACGGCGCCCCGGCCCAGCACACCGCGCACGGCAGCGGCTGTGCCGCCCCGCAGCTCCCCGCTCACCACAAATACGACACGCGCCCCCGCCACCGCCTCAGCGGACAACGCCCTGACGGCCAGCGCCCCCGCCGCCAGCAGCTCTCCCGCCCCACCGCAGCCCCAGTGCAGCGCCTCGGCGGACGCCGCGTCCAGGAGGACGACGGCCTGGCGCGCCCTGGCAAGCACAGGCTCCCAAGCCTGCCGGCACACCCGCTGCAACTCCGGTACCGGCACCGCCATGGCGGCGGCAAGCAGCGCTGACAGCCACAACACACCGCACGTGCGCAGCGCGCCGGCGGCGCCGAGGGATGACGTATCGGGTTCTGATTGGCTGCGGCCGGCGGGAGGGGTGGGCACTCCCTGACAGAGCCGGCGGGGTCAGGCCAGGTAGCTGTGTGGTTCGGCCGGGTTAACGGCGCTGGTGCGGCTTTTGCTCCCGCTGTGAGGCCGGGCTAGGCTAGGCCGGGCCGGGCCGTGTGATCTCACCTGAGCAGCTACCCGGTCTGGGGCTTGGTGTCCGTTGGGGTTAACCCCCGCCCAGGTCTGTTACACCACGAGAGCACCAACAGGGTTGTATCTTTGAGAGAGGGCGGGGGCCCCTTCCTTCTGCTGGCTGTGCCAAATGCTGACAGGCGTTAAAACGTTCTTCTCATCTATAGTCTGTATTAGGACCACCACTCCAGTGTGTAGCCCTGGCCAGTACCGGTGGGACGTCTGAGCACTGACAGTTAAGGTTTACCTGACGTTTTCCTGCACAGGCTGTATACTTCTGCCGGGTAAATGTTAAACCAATCACTGTTACTATTTACGTTACTACCTCTTCGTGTGGCAGTGGTGTCTTTTGTTATACCATGAAAACAACTGTTTTGCTGATACTGTTTTAAATTTACAGCACTGGAAAAGTGAAAGTTCCATCACCATTCACTGTGCTATAATTCTGTATTTCCTGTGTTAGTATTAACAAATCTAGGCATTCATGAGCTAGCAACAAGAAATATTCTCTTGTAATGAATGAATCTTTTTTGATATACAGTTCCACTGTCTGTGGAAGTGTTCAAAAGGCCCTCAGTGATATGGTTTAGTGGTGGACTTGGCAGTCCTGGGGGAACGGTTGGACTTGATCTTAAAGGTATTTTCCAACCTGGTTGATTCTATTATTCGGTGATTCTCCTTTGAAAAGCTCTTGATCTCAGAATCAGCTTCAAAGCTAGCTAGAAAAAAATGCCATAATATGTATCTACACTTTCTTCTCTGTGAGGATGGAGGCACGGACCCAGAGGTAGAGTGCAAGCTGGATCATTTATTGCAAAAATTACACGATATTAATATGCTTACAAGCAATTAGCCATTAATTGCCTGCTATAGCTTCTCCTTCCCGTGGTCTCTGACAGTTTTGATACATTCCACCCCCCACACTTCTCCCCAGAGAATGGATGGCTCACTTGCAAATCTGTGATCTGTGTAGTATTTCACTAGGGCCTCTTCACAATAAAGAGTTTTTTTTTTTTGTTTTTTTTTTAACATAATGGGATTCTCAGCAATTACATAAAGATAAATAATTTAATTGGTTCATCCACTTTTTTAACTGTTCTCATGAGGTCTCTTGCAGGTTCAGCTGGTTTCAGAACACTGAAAAACATAAGTAACATGGAATCACCAGATTTCCAGTAATGAAATTAAATCCTTCCAGTCTGCTCCATGCTCATTCCTACCCTGATGCATTCGTCCCTCTTCCAAACTCAGACATTGGTCCTTGTGCTGTTCTAACCCTGATCTGTTATTTTAACCTTGCAGCATTAAATTTATGATGCTAAAAATATGTAAGTTAGTAGCCCTTCTTGATTATTTTGATTTGAAAGATGCATGCAAAGAAAGGATCAGGGATGGTTTACCACTTGTGCAGAACTACCCTCCTCTCACATTGAATTACCTCAGAGATTATCTATCTCTGACCTTTTGCTTTATGCTTGAGTGCCATGGACAAAAGCTGAATATATTATGGCTCGTTCAACCCTTTAGTTACCTTTTTGGAAAGGCTGGGTGTTTTTTTCAGACATAGCATCAAAACAGCAGATGCTTTTTTAAGGAAACAAGTTTTTTATTTTATAAATATCGTATAGATTACAACTAGTTCTGCATATTCTGATGCGGGAAAAAAAGGATCACCAGCCAGAAGACAAAGCAAGGTTAATCAGTTTGAAGCACAGTGGTTAAATTACAAACCAAAATCATCTAAGTAGTTTTTACAGCGTACTTTCTCCTATGTGCAAATTTACAACTACTCTGATAGAAAAAGAACTGTAGTAAAGGGTTCCCATAAACTTGCTATCTTGCTGTGGGTTTCTGGAGTGCAGCCTGTGAGTTAAGATGTTTATGCAGCTCGCAAAGATGTCATCTTCTGTCCTTAGCCTTTTAGCTACTCAGGGCCTTGGGAGAAGCCTTTTGTTCAGGCCTCAACAGCTACTCTTGCTCTGTGCAGCTGTAAGAACCTTCAAGGTCCTTTCCAGAGACTGGGACTTGTGGGAGGTTTCACCTTTGAGGGCAGAAGTTGAAATGCTATCTAGGCCAGCACTCTGTCCCCAGAAGAAAAGCAGGAAACAGGTTCAAAGCACCCTCTCTGTCCAACCAGAACCAGAGGTGGGTAAAGACCTTCCTGGGACAGACAGAATGCTGGCAACTATTTTTGGGCCTTAACCTTCCTGAGTCAGCTTCCAGTGTTCAAGCTGCTCAAGATGGATTTTTACATCACCACTAGCTCAATGTGATGTCTATTTAAAGGTTTCTACCAGGAACACTGCTCTGAGGTTTTGACTGATGTTTTTTAAGAGATTTTATCCTCTACACCTGCTCTTGATTTCTCTTTGTGGTGTTTTCCACAGACATATTTTCTTTCTTCTTGCATCTGCAATCAAGAGTTCTACTGCATCATTTAATGTTGGCCAGAAGTGTGTTAAATGGCCAAGTAAACAAAACCAGAATGAAAATTAAGGAAGATGCTGATGCCAAGTAAGAAGTACTACAATACAAATTGATTTTATGACAAGCAAGTGTTTAAAAATGTTTTGGGTGAAAATATTGACTTCACAATTGCATGATGAAAACCTACTCAATTATGCCGTACTTCCTCATCTGGACACAACACACAAACACTTCATTTCAGGGGGGGAAAAATGCCTTTTGAGAAGGCAGTTTGTCCATGTGAACTCCAGTGAAATGTCATGCCATATATGAAACTTTAAACCAAGGTTCACAATGCAGGCAACTCAAAGAACCAGCTCCCCCCCACCCAGAGTCATGATGTGTTTCTAATATACACAGGCCCTCTATACTTGACTTTTTCACAAGCTGTCCTGCTGTGAAAAAGGGGTCCCTTCTTTAGTTTTAGCAAACATCCTAAGACAGTGAAGACTCCATTTGTCTAGACATCTGGTCAAAACTTGTTTTGACAGTTGCTGTACTTAAATTTTCTAATGAATCTTGCAGTTGTTAATACACCATTCACAGATGTAAGGTGAGAAAATCATCAATAAAAATAGCTTGCTTCTTCCCACCACTTTTAAAATAGAGCAATTTCTTTGTGAAATGTGTAGTTACACTCTGTATATTCACAGAGTACTATGAATGTTAAACTCCTACAGGAGCTAAAAATAAAACTAGGCAATTTATGGAAGGGGAAAAAAATCTATAAGGAGTTGTTAAACCTAAAATATTACCTCCAGCTGGGAGAGTCCCTGAGCTGAGGCTAAGACAGTACTAGTAAAAGTAACAGCGTATTTATCCCGTGGTTACGCTCCCCACTGGCAGCTGCCATCAGTCTCCAGTAGCAGAAGCACAGCACTGGACTGTACATGTGTTTGGCCAAGTCCTGCTTCTGGAGGATGTTCTAGCAGAGGCTAGATGTTCGGGCGAGGATGTTCTAGCGGAGATCGCCACGCTGCCAGTGAGCCCTGCTGAAGGGATGACGAGCGGGCGCTTGGGGCTGCAGAAGAGCACAAGGACCGCCACGAGCAGCGGACACAAAGGGCAGCGAGGGGAAGTGAACGCGGCTCTGGCAAGCACGCCGCGACTAGGGAAGGCACAGCCGAGGTGAGTAACAACGCCTGGCAGCGCGCAGAAACGGCACCGGCCGTGCCAGAGCGGCCCGGGCAGCGGGACCGGCTCCGCCGGGGCCGCCTCCCGCGTGCCCGTGCCCGGGGCGCCGCGGGGCCGGGCCGGGCCCGCTTCCTGTGCGTGTCACTCACTCCGCGGGGGAGGGGAAGCTGCGAGCAGGCGGCGGCGGTTCCTCCGCGAGCGGTGCCGTTGGGCCGGCGGGACGCTCGCAGACCCCCTTGCCACCGCCCGGCTGCGGCCTGAGACGCCGGCGGAGGCCCGGGACAGCGCGGTGGTGTTGCCCAGCGGCGAGAGGCCCAGGCGCCGTCGGGCCTGGGCCCTCGCCTCCCGCGGGAGGCGGCCATGTCTACCGGCGAGGTGGAGCGGCTGTCGGCGGATCTCGGTGGGGGCGCCGGGGACGAGGAGGAGGAGTGGCTCTATGGCGGTACGGACCTTCCCAGACCCCCGCTCCCAGCCCACCTCCCCCGTACGCCGGCCCGGCTCGCTTCCCTGGCAGCCATAGCGGAGGGAGAGGGGGTGTGTAGGCCGCAGCGTGCGCCACCTCGCCAGGCCGGCCTGTGCCTGAGCGCGGCCCACACCTGCCCACCGAGCTGGTCTAGCCAGCGGCCGGTTAAAGGCGCCCCGCCACCCCTGCGGCTGCTCAGTCACCTCCTTTTGGCGGGCCCTCCGGTGGTGCTGTCCCGGGCCTGTGAGCGACCCCCTCCCCGCCGCGACGGTGCCGGCTCCCTGCCGCCTCCTCCACGGGCGGTTGCCAGCCGGCCCCTCTGCTCTGGCTGCGCAGGTCGTGGCATGCTGGGCCTCCCGCATGGCGCTCCTGCCCCACACTCACCCCTGGGGCGGCCTAGGCACTCCTCAGTACCCCCTGCCTAGCCTCCCGGCGCTGAAGTACTGAAGCAGCCTTAAACTTTAGGGCATAAACTTTGTTCACAACTTCAGGGACTTTAAGTTGAAATCATAACGAAACTTGTAAATAAATCCTGCCAATGTAGAAGACCTGTGAGCATTGAGTGCTGGGAGTGCTCAGAGGTCTGCTCTACTGATAACACAATTGAAATGTTATGAAAATGTCTCAATAAACTGAAGAGTTACCTAATCCATCTGCATGGCAAGATCTCTGTCATGATGGGTATTAAGGGGATTTTATTCTTAACTATTGTGTTTCTTTTCTCTTGTGGTAGATGAAAATGAAGCAGAGAGACCAGAGGAAGAAAAACCTAGGTGAGCATCTTGACAAATGGGAGCCCTGTAGCACGGCTGCACAAAAAAGTTACTAATTACATTCCTTATCCCAACTGCATTAAAGTCCATAGCACCTGAACACACTATGGTGTCTTTGAAAATCCCCTTAACATAGTATGTTTGTTCTGTTAGAATGGCATGGCTTTTCTGTGAAATGGTTTTACGTCGGAAATTGGGATGCTTGAGTATAACAGTTATTTGAAGTTTTAATTGTATGGAGATCAGTAGTTCCTCACAAAATGCCAAGAGTTCTTTTATTTCTTTAATCATGGTGTTTTGCAGTCTCGGTAATGGATCAGGACTTCATTTGTTAGAGGTAAATCAGAAATTAAAAGACAGTCTCTGTCCCAGAGAGTTTACAGTGTAGTTACAAAAAGAATACAAAGAAGCAATAGAAGATTATCAGTTAGTTTGATGTGCATGTTACATAACACGTCAGCTGAGGGTTTGAGGGCTGTGGGGTTTTTTTTTAGTAAGGGAGTTTTTGAAGGAAATTTGGAAAAAACTTTGAAAATATTTGGGGCAGCCTACTTTAGCTATAAGGAGCTATATGAGGGAAAGCACAAAGATATTCCTTTGAAAATCATTGGTGAACTATGGAAATTATTGATTGTCAAGATACATTTAATAGAAGGGAAGCCAATGCAAGAAATCATGAATTTTTATTTTTTATAAATGCTTCCAGTCAGCAGTGATTTTTTTCAAGAACTCTTGAATTTAGTTAACTTTGATGGACTTCTTGACCATAAGCTTGCTCAATTGCCTTTTTTTTAGCTCATGTCAGATTTTGACAGGGAAAGAGTGATACAGCAGTAATGACCTCTACCACTTGACCACATAGAATCTCATTTTGAAGCAGCTACTGGTACAGTCACTTCCCGTTAGTTCTTGTATAAGAAACAGAGTTGTTTCCTGTCACTTTTTCCATGTCACTTAACAGTTTTGTGGACCTCTGTTGCATTTATCTTGCATAATCTCTTGCAGCACAGAGAATTCCAATTATTTATTTGCTCTTTATTTGGAAGCTATTCCATATCAGTTGATTCCTTGTGTCCAGGTACCTTTTCTTGACCTGGCACTTTTGTCAGTATTACTGTTGTTTTAAGAAAATCATTTGCATGGCAACCAAAATGATCTTTAGAAACAGTGGTCAGCAGAGTCTGGCTTGACATTTGGTTACTTCAATACATGGTATGGACTAAAAAGCAAAACAAATAGTAGTATATGCATCTCATGAGCTGTGTTGGAACTCGGGAAGTTCGGTGACATTTTACCTGTTCAAAGTTTTGGTCTCTGGACTGTTAGTTTTGGCCTTTTTCAGGTATACTTAAGAATTATGAGGTTTTATTCAGGTTCTGTACTAGCCTGTTATTTTAATGGGTGATGAAGTGGATTGGTGCTCTGGTGCAACACTTACGAGTGGGTATTTTGCCAACAGAAGATGGGATCAAAATCATTCTGTTCAATAAAAATTGGCAGTTGCTCAGTCCATTTCAGAGATATTATTTCAGTGAAAGAATATTGTTTCTAAATGGCTCCTTGCTTACTCTGCTGTTTGTGGTGCAACATCCTAACAGTTAATGGAACCGTAGAAATGAAAACATTGCTGTGAAATAAGCAGCAGTAGGTAAACCCAGTGACACAGCTTGTTCGCATGGATTTGACAGTGCTGTTCACTTTAGATGGACAAGTAGTTTTAAAACGTCTACAATTAAAATGTAATTGAATTAATCATTGAATTGTAGCTATTCTGTATGGTGGAAGAAAATTTCACAATGTAGATGTTGGAATTTTAATTCAGTGCAACATTACCTGTGAGTATTTATTTAATTTCCGTTATGTCTTTGAAAAGTCTGCAGGGGCAAAAAATAATAAAACTGTTATTCTTCGTATATTATGAAACATTTCACTTTGATTTCCAAAGCGGATCCAGGTGTAGTGCCTTTTCACTTGCAACTGTTCTATTCTGTGAACATCTGGTTAGTATGACTTCTGGTAGCTAAACATTATCCTGCTAATATGAAGCTACATGAATCTAGAAATTCATTTAATAAATTATTTTAATTAATGCAGAAGATAGCTGGAACTTTGGGTCTTTTCCAGAATGATGTAGTAAGGCTTTTTTTATCATGTGGAATAATATGTGCATAGATACCTACTTTCATCTTTGTTTGTTTTTGTTTAAGTGCTCCACCCCCACCTGGAAATGAAGAGGAAGCTGCAGAAAATGGCGTTGTGAAAACGGTAGTTTTAAATGTGTTTTTGGAATACTGCTTTAATTTGGTTTGATTTATGGGGTATTCATAATTTGGCTAGGACTTATCATTAAATTTAATGCATAAATGTATGCTGCTTTTTTTTTCTTTTCTGAAAGGTGTTAGACACTATCTGCAGAAACTCTGTAGAAATTACTAAGTTAAGAAATCCAATTTTCAGCTTCAGTCCACTTTTTAAATCCAACTTACAAAAAATAGATGAATAATGCTTCCTTACTTTGCAGGGAAAGGCGGTGCTTCAAGATAGCTGCCTTTTCTCAAAAACATGTTTTCAAAATGATACTCTCTAATTTTCCTCACTGATAGGAAAATAAAATCCTTTGATCATTTTCTGTCTTTCTGTGTGTGTTGAACAATCAGCATTTGCCAAACTGTGTGAAAATATGGGTTAAGAGGTGAATTATGCATGCCTTTCAGAGGCAGCAAAACAGACTGGCTCAGTAGTAGTCTTCTATATGCAGTATGTCAGAACTTCAGTGTTAGTAGGGTGGAGGAAGGGAGCAGGAAATGAAATTTACAGTTGCAGTGTTGATAAAAAGCTTCAGTTTATTGTGAATGGAAATGGTTTAAATCTCTTCTATGAAAAAAGAGTAGTGTTACTAAACTGGGATATTTAGGTTATATCTTGCAAGAATTCTCTTAAGTGATGCAGTAACAACTCTCATATTTGTGAAAATTTTAGGGACTGCCCTCTCAAAAATATATATTTTTCCAGTAAGTCTAATACTTTATTTATGAAAGATATTATAACTACTTAAAGTTGGGGGAAAACTTTAAAACTCTATTTTAGTTGTTTAAACTGAAAAGCTCTTAATTTCAGCACACCAAAGACTTCGTGCTGATGCTAATCCTATAAGTGGGTTTAATATGCTAAGTACAGGGAGAAGACTTGCTAGTTTCAAAATACTTCTGAAAATCCTCACTGGAGCAGTTCCCTTATACTTCCCTCTCTTTGTATTTTTCACCTATATAAAGCCTAGTGTTGTTAGGATATCATCAGAATATCTCCACAGAATTGAGAACTTTATGTTAAAAGGTGCATATGAAGGGTCAGCAGCAACCTAGAAAAATGGGTGGTGTTCAAGCTGGTTGAATAAGAAAAGGAGACTACTTCCGTGAGGAAGGAACTAAGAAAGCATTGTTTGTAAGTGAAATCGGCTTTTGTTGCTCCAGACAAAATTTTATTTTCTGTTCAATGTATCTGTAATGGCCCTCTGCTGAGTGGGTTGCCTGAGTGGGTGTGGGAGATTGGTGAACTCTTTGTCTTCAGTTGTGCAGCATTGAAGGCTGTATTCTGTGTTCAGCTGTCATTTACAGGATATCTATACTGATGCAGACTACCTCCCCTAGATTATACTCTTAATTGTTACGTAAATTATATTAATGCTGTATAGCAAGGATGAACTGTACTCCAGTATATTATCTTCTGCACAGCTGCTTATTTTTGTCTAATTTATGTACCAGGCAAGTTTAGCGATGGTACAGTAGGTAAGGGTTAGAGCTCGGCTATGCTTGGAAAACTTCAGACTACCTGGACAGAATCAACTTGACTTTGGTATGTTCAGACTCTTGCTGGAGGATTCAGCAAGCATGTGAATAAGGGTGATCTGGTTGATAAAGTTCACTTGGATTCCACAAAAATTTTTTTAAATAAGTTCCTCACCAAAGGATTTTAAGAAAAGTAAGCAGCTATAGGAGGAGTCCCTTGTTATAATTGACGTGTAAAAGATAGAAAACATAGGGTAAAAGTCTTAAGTTCAGTTTAGGCAGTGAATGAGGATCACCTCCAGTGGGGATTCACTGGAATGTTGTGCATAACCTGTGCTGTTTAGTGTGTTTATAAATTACTTAGAAAAAGGGGCAAATTGTGGTATTACAGGTTTTCTGATATTAGAAAGTTATTCAAGGACTATCTCTGAAGAACTGACTGGTTAATAAATGGTCACTGAAATTCTGTATAGAAAAAGAATAGTGATGTTTATGGGAGGAAAAGAGGCTTACAAATAAAATGGTGATCTCTGAGGTCATCATTGCCACTTAGGAGGGACTCACTAAGGTACATAGAAAGATCCACAAAACTGGTGGTTACGTGCTTGTATGGAGTCTAAAAAGCAGTTAAACTTTGGGATGTTGTAGAAAATAAATACAGAACAAAATTAAAGATATCCTTCCACCATAAATTCATGGTTCAGTTGCACCCGAATTTTGTGTGCTATTGTGAAGACTACTTCAACTGAAAAAAAGTTCAGAGAGGAAGAGTGGTTGAGGTAGCTTCCATACAAGGAATGGCTGAGTACATAAGGACTTTCCAACCAAGGAAGGGAAGCATATATAGCATATGGTGGAGGCTAACAAAATCATGTATGTACCTTATAAATAAGGATTGACTCCTCACAGTCCCTTACCATGAGAACTGTAACTTTTAAATGAAAGTCGTAGGAGCCAGGATGAAAAGAAAGAAAGAAATTAGATTGGATTTTCTTGCAGTAGACAGTGCTATGGAGCGCCTTGCCAAAGAGAGTATCACTGCTGGGAGTTTATATGAGTCCAAGGGAATTCTGGGCAAGTACTTGACAGAAGGATCTATTAGGGGTTACTAAAAAGACAAACCATAACTGACTTAGGGAATTCCCTGAGCTGATAATAATCAGCAGCTTGAAAGAGTGTTAGGGTGGAACATCATATACGTTTGCTCTGGCTTTTTTTTTCTCTCCTCTGTGGTCTCTGGGAGGGGGAAACTAAAGCAAAACACCAAACAAACCAAAAATGCTGTACTACATGAGCTGTTGGTGTAGACTGGCATGACAGTTTTATTTATCAGCAAGCTTGAAAGCTGTGGGCCAGAACAGCAGGCAGCGTGCTTTTGTATCTGTATTTTTATCCTGTTCACTGAAAATCTCAAGCATTTTACATAGTTTACTAATGCTAGGAACTGAACAGATTTTTCTGAAGCGCAGTGTCTACAACTGGAAAAACCATTTCAGTTACTCAGGACATGTAATTGGGGATGGCAAGTGGCTAGTCTTGCATATTTTTAGGTTCTTTCCTCACTGACAAGGTAAAACTAGTATGTGTGAGCTAGATGGAGGGAAGAAGGATGTTAGTGGAAGCTATTTTATGCTTATTTAGGAAATGTCGTGCTTCAGAAACAGACCTTAGTATTAAAGATAGTTCCCTTTTTGATGCAGATGTCTCAGATACTTGTAGCATTTCATCAGATGAGCCTCCTAAGTGTATTCTTAATGATACTCAGTACTAGGTCTAGAAGAAGGAGTTCTTCCTCTCAGAGATTTCTAGAACAGATAGTTTTGACTGGATTATTTTTCCACTATAAAGGTAAGTGACTGCTTTTTGTCTAAGCATGACTTTTTCTTTTGTAGAAGGTGGCAGAGGCTGATGATGACAGTGATAGTGATAGTGATGATGATGAAGATGATGTTCAAGTCACCATAGGGGATATTAAAACAGGAGCTCCACAGTATGGGTAAGTTATTTGCAAATATTAGCTGGGGGAACTTCCACGATTGCATGTAATTATTAATTCAGGCTCTTTAATACTAGTCAGCAGCAAATTGTATGCATAGTTAGTGTCAATTTAGCTTGGATTTGGGTTTTTTTCAGGTTTTTTAAATGTTTTTAAGGATATAGGGATTTGAAAAAAAGTGAAACAAAGTCGATTAGATGTCATAATGGAAGAGCTCTTATATGAGTTAAGAGCTGTTACACTAGTTAAATTGTTTTCAGATTTTGAGAAATAATAGTATTAAGTTTGTAAAGTTGAGTGTTATTAATTATGGAATAGCTGTGTTACATGATATTTTTAGGGTTGTTAGTGTGACAGCGATATTTCTGTGCAAATGGTAGAGCGGTAACCATGGAGAACATTAGAAGCATTTCTCTTTAGTTCTGTTTGTAGTGGAGACAGTTCTAATTGGACCTCAATGGTTTCAAGTCTTACTGATGTTCTCAAATAAGAATTTAATGTACTTCAGGATGGAGCTGCCAGTCTCTGGAGATAATTTCTCAATATCATGGTTTTGGCATTTGTACTATATAAAAATTTTTTTGCTACTGTTGTTGCTCTGTATTCCTTCTCTTGATAGAAGACTTGTTTTTCACTGAACTCTTTCAAACAGTGTTAATTTTTACCCCAAATTATGAAATACTATTTTTCATTACATGGAAGCTTGCTGAGGGAAGTGGTTTGCTTGTTTGTCTTGGCAATCCTTATGTTTTTATGCTTATTAAAACCAGCATTAAAAAGGCATCATTCCTATTAGAATTATGTCAGGTCTGCAGGTAGGTCTGACTCATGTATATTATTGTGTTCTTAACTTTAGAATGCAAGTGATTTACTCATTTTTGAAACATAGTATTTTTAAACTTTCAGTATTTCATATCCTAAACTAACTGTGCAAAGGTATTATAAGAAATAGCAGTTCTTTCAGTTCTTTCTTTGTCTGCTTTCAGTAACTTGCAGTATACTTGTGGTGTAGGCAGCAACCTCAAATTCTGTGGGAGAAAAGCAAAACTAGATTTATGTCTTTAGTGTATTTGCTGGTGCTCTTTCCAGAATACATAAAACAATGAGTGCATGATGCTAAATGCAATTAGAATAGAAAGTTTTATGTAAAAACGGTTGTTTTCTGAAAAACCTTTTTTTCTATGCCAATTGGACAGAAAGTTCATGGAAAGGCAGTAATCTAAAACAAACTCAACATCGCTGTTCATTTTAACTTTAGGATAACATGTTCCTTTTATAGGATTAAATGATTTTTCATATAGTAGTCAACTGCTGTTTGAAAAAACACGGGATTTGTTTGACAAAGTCATGCACAAATACAGCATAGCAGATCAAGAAGGTTAAATGCTTTGTGTTAGTTTTATACTGATTGTACTTGAATGTAAACTAAAACTGCATGGAATTGGTACTGTAAACTATATACTGCCTTCTAATTACATGCTAATCTCATTATGTTCATGGGTTTGTACCACCTGTGAAGTTGAACTGCGTTATACACAAATGGTAGTGAAAGCAAGCTCTCTGTTCCAAATGAACAGTACTGTAATTCCTTATGTAGTTGTATCAGTCCAGTATCAAGATTTCTGAGTACATCCTTATGAATAAAGCTCTCAAGTGTTTAAGAAAGCAAAATGTTACATACTTTTCTGTTAGTCATAAGAATGGGTGATCTCCATGGCGTTGGTGGGGCTGTCCCCGCTCCAGCCCCCGACAGCAAACAGGATGGTGTAGGGCAGGCGAGGCCGGCTGAGCGGGCTGGCGGAGGCCGGGAAAGAGGGCCCTTACACGCTGACGTGGTCCATCTCCTTCAGCGTGTCCATGATGAGGCCTCAGCAGTCCTGGCTTTCCGCCACGTACTCCTGCATTTTGACCTCGTTCATGAAGAATTGCGCTTGCATCAACGCCAGTCAAACCTGGAAAGCACAGAAAGGGGGGGTTAGGGGCAGAATCCCCATGGTGTCCATGTGGGAGAGCCGCCATGCTCGATGGTTTTGCTGTAAGAGAGCCAGAGAACTCAATGTGTCGCTTATAGCTAGTCCAGAAAGGGGGCTGCAGGGGTAAATCGCTTGATTTCATGGCGGGGAGCCTGCTGCTGCTTTGGCACAAGGCTCTCCTCTTTGCAGACTCAAACTGCCCTAATGCCTGCTGCTGTTTGCGTGGCTCATGCGCAAATAGAGGCTCTGCATGTGCAGAGATAACGTCCCCTGTGAACTTTGGTCCCTCCTGGCTGCTACAAGCAGCTGAATGTGAGGAAATGGGCCCAGCGCAGGGTCTTCAAGAACCCGAGGCTGTGAAAGGGAGCTTCCCCCAGCCTGCCAAGAGGAGCGGCACGGCTGTGGCCCTGCAGAGCCTGCGTCAGCACCGACCTTGCTCAGCAGCTCAGCGATGTGGTGCCGCCGATTCGGGGGGTCGTGGTCAATCCACTTCACGATAGCCTTGAACACGGCATCCTCTTCCGTCGCGTTGAGCTCGTCCTTCTCAATGATGTTCTTCAGGTCACTGACGGAGAGCTCCAGGAACTCCTCGGAGACCTTGGTGACATCCTCGAAGTGATGGAGGATGAACAGGAAGGCTGCTTCCCGCAGCTCGGGGCAGTAGTAGTACTCTGTCAGCCTGTAGATGCCGATGCAGTTCTCAAAGCAGAGCTGGGACTCTAGGAACTCGCAGCACAGCCGGACGATGCCCATGACATTGAACTGGTCTGCGGCAATGAGCAGGTTTTCCACATTCTCGGTGGTGATGTCAACAGTCTGGGTGTAGGCGTACTCGATAATGAGCCTCATCATTTCAGGTGAAATCCCAGGGATTTTGTACACCGTCTTCTCGGCCCTGTTCCAGCTTCTGGTGAACAAAGCCCTGGAAAACCAAAGCAGTGCTGGAGGCAAACCCAGCTTTGCTGGGTTAAACCCTGCCCGTTATCCCCTGGGCACCCGTTTCGGTACCAGCATTAGCCATGCTGGGAGGCCGTGGGGTTTTATCCATGTTTCATCAGTGATGGAAGCACCAGGGCGGCTGACCCAGGCTAGGCAATCCCACCCATCCCCCTCTGACCCCTCTGAAATAGGGGCTGCAGCTGCAGAGGATGATCTTGTGAGCATTAAATTCGATGCCATCCACGCTGATGATCACATCACAGAGTTTCCCCTCGAGACGAAGCTCATTGAAGATGGTGCAATCCATGGCACTCATCTTCCTCTCCATGTGTGAGGTGGACGACAACCTGTTTCCCGAGGTGAAGCCTGAGGCCAGGAGAGGTGCCTCTCTCGGGGTGTTTGGCTTTGTCCCTCCAACATCAGCTCTGCCCGCTGGTTATAGAACATGCTCCATTATGAGCACAAGCTCAGGGGACCTGGGCAGCAGCGCCTGGGAACAGGGTCCTGGCCCCCCCAACCCCTGATCCATGGCTGCCCCATAGCCCAGGCTGTGCTGGACCAGGCCCCATTGATGGCTGAGGAGGAAGGGCCTCAAGGTTCCCCTACAGCCCCTTCATGCCATTCTGTGCAGGGATAAAGCTCCCCAATGGCTGCTGCAGTGCCCCTGAACCAGCTCATGCAGGAGGAAGCTGAGGCCCAGGTTAGCTCATGTCAGTGATGGAGCCACAAGTGCTGGGTCTGCTGCTACCTTTGGAGGGGTGGAAAGAGCCGCCTGGGGCTGAGGAGGGGATGTGGGGCACAGGGATCCCCATCCTGCTGTAGCTCATTGCCGGCTGCTTGTCATCGTGTCTGGGTGTACCAGGAAACAGCTCTCGGAGGGAAATGGATGCCACATCCCTGGCAGCGTTCAAGGCCAGGTTGGGCACGTAGGAAGTCAAGGAAGAGGGTCAGGAGACCTGCGTGGCTAAATAGGGAATTGCTGGGTATGCTGAAGTGGAAGAGAAGAGTTTACAGGTCATAGAAAGAAGGGGTGGCCACTTGGGAAGAATATAAGGCTGCTGCTAGAGGATGTAGGAAAGCTGCTAGGATGACTAAGGCCTCCTTGGAATTAAAGCTGGCGAGAGGGGTCAAGGACAGCAGAAAGAGCTTTTTCAAATACATGGCTGATAAAACTAACACCAGAGGCAATGTAGGCCCGCTGATGAACGGGACGGGTGCCCTGGTGACAGAAGATACAGAGATGGCAGAGTTACTGAATGCCTTCTTTGTCTCTGTCTACTCTGCTGGAGGCAATCCTGAAGAGCCCTGTACCGCTGAGACCTCTGATGAAGACACGTCAACGGAGCGGTTTGCCTTAGTCGATGAGGAATGGGTTAAAGACCAGTTGAGCAATCTGGACATCCATAAATCCATGGGTCCAGATGGGATGCACCCGCGGGTGCTGAGGGAACTCTCAGAGGTCATTGCTAGACCGCTCTCCATCATCTTTACCAAGTCTTGGGAAACGGGAGAGGTGCCTGAGGACTGGAGGAAAGCAAATGTCACTCCTGTCTTCAAAAAGGGCAAGAAGGAGGACCCGGGTAACTATAGACTGGTTAGCCTCACCTCCATTCCTGGGAAAGTGATGGAACACCTTATCCTTGGTGCCATCTTAAGGCATATCAAGGATAAGAGGGTTATGAGGGGCAGTCAACATGGCTTCACCAAGGGGAAGTCATGCTTGACCAATCTCGTAGCCTTTTATGAGGAAATAACACGGTGGATGGATGATGGCAGAGCAGTGGATGTGGTCTACCTTGACTTCAGCAAAGCATTTGACACGGTCTCCCACAGCATCCTTGTGGCTAAATTGAGGAAGTGTGGTCTGGATGATCGGATAGTGAGGTGGACTGTGAACTGGCTGAAGGAGAGAAGCCAGAGAGTTGTAGTCTATGGGGCGGAGTCTAGTTGGAGGCCTGTATCTAGTGGAGTGCCTCAAGGGTCGGTACTGGGACCAGTATTATTTAATATATTCATCAATGATTTAGATGAGGGAATTGAGTGTACTATCAGCAAGTTTGCTGATGACACTAAGCTGGGAGGAGTGGCCAACACGCCAGAAGGCTGTGCTGCCATCCAGAGAGACCTGGACAGGCTGGAGGGTTGGGCGGGGAATAACTTGATGAAATATAACAAGGGAAAGTGTAGAGTCCTGCATCTGGGCAGGAACAACTCCAGGTTCCAGTATAGGCTGGGGAACGACCTGTTAGAGAGCAGTGTAGGGGAGAGGGACCTGGGGGTCCTAGTGGACGACGGGGTGACCATGAGCCGACACTGTGCCCTTGTGGCCGAGAAGGCCAATGGCATCCTGGGGTGTATTAGAAGGGGGGTGGTTAGTAGGTCGAGAGAGGTCCTCCTTCCCCTCTACTCTGCCCTGGTGAGACCGCATCTGGAATATTGTGTCCAGTTCTGGGCCCCTCAGTCTAAGAAGGACAGGGACCTGCTGGAGAGAGTCCAGCACAGGGCAACTAAGATGATTAAGGGAGTGGAGCATCTCCCTTATGAGGAAAGACTGAGGGAGCTGGGTCTCTATAGTTTGGAGAAGAGGAGATTGAGGGGTGACCTTATTAGTGTATATAAATATATAAAGGGGGAATGTCACGAGGATGGAGCCAGGCTCTTCTCAGTGGCAAACAATGATAGGACAAGGGGAAGTGGGTACAAACTGGAACAAAAGAGGTTCCACTTAAACTTGAGAAGAAACTTCTTCTCAGTGAGGGTGACAGAACACTGGAACAGGCTGCCCGGGGGGGTTGTGGAGTCTCCTTCTCTGGAGACATTCAAAACCCGCCTGGACACGTTCCTGTGTAACCTTATCTAGGTGTTCCTGCTCCGGCAGGGGGATTGGACTAGATGATCTTTTGAGGTCCCTTCCAATCTCTAACATTCTGTGTGATACTGTGATACTGTGATTTGCTAGAAGTACATTGAAACTAATAGCCTTTCAATCATTGTAGAGAAATGCTTGAATTTTACACTTCTGTACGGATTAAATGCAATAGTTATGAAAAGAGAAAAGAATCTGTCTAAACCCTTTCCTTTTTTATTTATTTAGTTTTTACTCTAATCCCCAGAGTGTCATCTGTATCCCTAAATGAACTGCATTTTTCCTTTCTTTCTTCTGGTTCTGTCCATTCTTGTTTCTGTGAAGGTCTTTAACCTTTCAACTCAGGAAGAGTGACTGGGACTTGCTTCACAACTGTTTATTAGTTGGAGAAGTTGCTACTGAGCATAGAAAGGTACACTCTCTTCCTCCTAGGCTGATCTCTTTACAGTGTTACCAGCTTGGAAAGCTAGAGGTTCAGGATGGTGATTGAGCCTGAGTCCAGTTTGTTTCTGGATCTAGCTAACTTGTGTTTTCTTCTGTTTTAAGGGTTTTATCTGTCTAACTCAGTTTTTTGTTGATTTCTTTCAAGTTATGGAGCAGCACCTGTGAATCTCAATATTAAGACAGGAGGAGGACGAACTTACGGATCTTCTGGTAAGAAAATATTGACACGGTAATATTAGTAAAAGTGAAAAAAACAGGTTTGATTGTTTTAGGTTAATGAAATAATTTTCACTTCCAAAACTTGTTGATAAACTTAAATCTGACTTTTTATTGCTATTTTAAGTGTATTACAGCTGTTAAAACTCTAACTCTCTAACTTCTATTCACAGGTGCAAAAGTTAAAGGGGTAGATCTGGATGCACCAGGGAGTATAAATGGTGTGCCACTTCTGGAAGTAGATTTAGATTCTTTTGAGGATAAACCTTGGAGAAAGCCAGGTAATGCCCTTGTTTACATTAACTGATATGTAGGTATTCAGTAGGTTATTTTAACAATAGTTCACGTTTACTGCATGTAGATATTATGTACCCTATAGGTAGAAGATACTGTACAATGTTATTTGGAAAAAGCATTTAAGTTACTTGTTACCTTTGTGCTGTGCTACAGAGTGTGTGGGCATGCCATGTTTCCTAGTATACATCCTGCACATATCAGCAGAAATAGACTGTAGAACATGCCCTTTACTTATTTATTTATTTATTTATGTATTTATAATCCATGTATATCCTGAACTCTCCTTGGAAATCTCTGTTTCTCTGGAGATTACTGCCATTGGTCTGTGTCATAGGGCAGAATATAAAGCAGAACAGAAAATAGTTCGAGCGGGTTTGAGCATGAAGAATGATGAAACGTAGCTGCTTGTCATAGAGTGACATCCCTAGGCTTTAAAGAAGCAGCAGGTACCAGATGGGCTTTCCATAAGTCTCCTGTGTGTATTGCCTGGCTCAAGTGATTTAGCCCGACTTGTCTAATACCTGCTTTTTTAGTGGCAGTGCATCTTGCTGTTGTACATAGGTTTCTCTAATGTCTGTATATTGCTCTGGCCATGCAAATAGTGTCTACAAAATGGAAAATAAAGCCTGTGATAATGTTCAGGTATTTGGTCTGTTAGCTATTTGAAATACATTCTGTCATTTGAGTTATGTCTGGTCTCCCTTTTACATACTCTTTTAAATACTTTGTGGCATCATATGAAACTTGGAGTCAAAACAACACAAGCAGTTGAATAGAGAACAAGCAAAAGTGAGTGGTTCTTCACTAAACATAGTGTAAACCTTTAGATCTTAAATGTATTATGTTGTAAAGATACAGGGATTATAATATCCTGTGGTATTCTGCAAGAAACTGCTTTTGATTCCTGAGACATGACGCTAAGCCCCTTACTCCTGACTAAATTCTGATGGTTTTATAGTCTCAGTCATGAACACTCTATGTTTACTGATGCAAGACTATATCCTACATTTCATGTTATTTTTTTAGCTCAATACCTAACCTGTTTTGATGTTACAAATAAATGTGTATGTATGATCAGTGAAGAAAATACAAACTTTGTGATGTCCTAAAAAAAACTATGCTTTTCTGTTTAAAGGGGCTGATCTCTCAGATTATTTCAACTATGGATTCAATGAAGATACCTGGAAAGCTTACTGTGAAAAACAAAAAAGAATACGAATGGGTCTTGAAATTTTACCAGTTACCTCATCCACAAATAAAATTACGGTAATTAGTACAACTTTTGCCATATTCTAGATGCTTTTTTCCCTGTAAAGTTGCTTGTGTGTCAAAAGCTTGTTCAGCCCAGTTCAGTGTGTGTGTTAGAGTTTGCACCTGACTCCCTGTCTTGAGCCTAGAGTGTTCCTGTGTGTTCCTCTGTTGCTTCACTGGCAATTTGTGTGGATAGTGTGACAGACTAGCTACAGCTAGATTGCGTCTGTACCATTATTCAGATTGTGGCCCAACACTTTAGAGTTGTATGGTCTCTTAATGGGCAATGTGTTATTTAACTTAGGCTGAAGACAATACTATGGAAGTAAGACCAAGTGCAGAGATTCTCGATGGCAGATACCATCTTTTTAAGGTGAATTTTAGTAAACTTTTGTCGGTTCCTCTCATTTTTGTTGAGTACAGCTTCCCATGCCACCACAGACTGGTAGAAGAACAACTGAAATGGACATAGCCATTATTTCAAACTCGCATCTTAGACCAGTGACTTTCTGCATATGTCATAAAAAGCTGATTAAAAAATTTTCTTTGTTTGTCACCGTTATGCAAGTATGTGAGTTAGTAACCTGGTGAATTAACAGATTTCCCAGAGAAACTAATTTTTCTTTATGTGATGGTTTATTTTTATTGTAGTGCTTTTGTCTGTGCAGATTAGAGAATTTGTGCAGATGTCCTGGGGAAGCTTTTGTAGATTATGGCATGTTTATTTTTTCTGTGGCCTTGTAGCTCTCGCTATGTTTTGTAAAACTTATCCTTGGCAACTCTGAGATGTGAAGATCAACCTTCCGTATTTTTCTGTTGTCCTTTTGGAATTAGATAGCAATAAATCAAATTATATATAACATTTTTTACATTCAGAAATGCTGATTTACAGAGAACAGATCTGTACGATGGGATTTATCTTAAGAATTCAATTTTTTTTTCAACTTCTCATTTTCTAATTTACTGTTTCATTTGATGCTAAAGTTAAAATACAGAGGTTATATTTTACCTATTTTCCATAGGTCAGTTTTGTTCTTGAGCAGTCATTAAACTGACTTGAAACTGTGTGTTGCTTTCTTCTGTATACTTCTGTGACAGAAGTGTCTATTGCAGACAGGTATTTTTGTTTCCCCTCATGTGCTACTTGAGGGTATCCAATCATTTTGAATTCATCTTACAAAGAACAGGTAAAGAAGCTCCCTGGGGCTTTTTGCCTTCCTGGGTTATCATGATAATAATGTTATGGAATTGTGGGCAGTAGAAGTTACGATTTGCAGTTCACATTGCCGAACTGTTGTCCTGAACGAAGGATAAGTATTCCAAACAAAAGCTTCCCTTATTTCTAGCTCAGTACTGACTCTCTGGGGGTCCAGTGATCAATCTGTACAGATAGTAATTATGTTGTAAGAGTGAAGTAAGAGTTTGTCATGTGTTTTACAAGAAGTTTATATATAAGTGTTAAATAATTTTGTTACCTTTTTTCCACTCTTCCAAAATACTATGTCTCATGAAATTTACATGGTATATTTAGATTAATCTTCTGTAACTGGCAAGACTGTCTCCTGCATTTTCCAGGTACTTATTAAATAATAGAAATCTTACAGATATTTCAGATGACTACTTAACCAAACATACTCAGTTTTGGTGTGTTTGGTTGTTTCTTTTTTTTAATGTAGTTCTGGATACTAAAATTTAGTTCAGTTTTTAACAAGTCTTAACTATATATATGCATTTCTGTGGGTTAGGGAAAGAGGTGCCTGTGTTTGGAAGTGAGGTTCTGCGAAGCTTAGTAGTTCACTTGCATATAAGAAGCTGTGAGATCACAGCATATGTTGTATTATAGCGTGAGTGAACTAGCTATGTAGAGTGATGTAGCTATGTGGTTGTTACAGTGGGAGTGTCTTTAGAAACTGAGTCAGGACAGGTTTTTCTTTAATCCTAACCCATGTAGGTTTTTCTTTCATGTAATACTTGGAAGTACTTTCACCAGAGGTCTTACATAGTTTCAATAACATGTCTCTGGAATTTAGCAGTACTTCAGAAATAGCAGCATGTTTTTGAAGTATTCAGTCTGAACTAATGAAAAATCTTTTAAGGTTTTCGTAACCAGGAGTATGAGATGACTTTCTGCTATGACTCAGAAGTAAAGTGGTTTCTAGATCTCATGGTCAATAAGGCAGGTGGAGAATCCACTCAGTTTCTTGGCTTATGGTTTGTTGTTGGGTGGCACTTACTAACCTCTGTTGTTAAGATTATGAGGTTTGGGTTTTTTTAAATAAGTTTGCTTCTCTTAAAAATTAAGATGCTATGTTGTTCATACAGGAAAATCTACAAGAAAATCAGTGTGGTCGGTTCGTGTCCAAATCAAACACTTGGAAAATAAATATTAAAACTGTCTAATCCTATGTAATAATTTCTTCTCTGCAATATTGTTTCTTTATAGATACTAAACACAGGAGTTAAGTTTTGCATTTTGTAAGGGTATGTATTTGCTAGCTATACAAAGGTGACAGGTTTTAAAAAACTTGATTAAAGGACTTTCTGTGTTGGCTGTGTGCTATGTTGAGTGTTGGGGCTGCTGCACTTCTGAGGCTAAACTAACGACAAAACATTATTTTGAAGGTACAGCAGGGCAGAACTGGAAATTTGGAGAAAGAGTTGGCAGTGCAGTCGACCAAACCCGATTTCACATCTCCTCCTGCCTTATTCAAATCAGGAATTCCAACAAACAGGTCAGTTACTTATAACTCTAGACCAGAAAATTTATTATATATATGTATTTGAAGTTCATGATTTTTGTAGAAAGGAAGGAAAATATGTTTCTGTGGCAGGTAAAACTGAGGGGAAGAGTGGTTCTAAACACTTCTAGCCTTTAGTCACCATTACACATGAATGTTGTGCTATTGGCTATTTGGGAAACAGAAAGAAGAACGAAAGGGGAGAAAAATCACCAGGACCAAATAACAAGGGAGGTATAAAAATCCAGGTGTATTTTGTGTAGAATTAGATTGGCCAGCAAAATGTTTCTAGCTTGCATCTTTCTGGTTATTAGCTAACACACCTTTTCAGTCAAGATGGAATCATATAGCTATGACTTCAGCAAAAGAAGGATTCCTGGAACCCCGTCTCTTTACTTCAAGGTAGCTTTAGCTCTCCTTACTTGAATATTTTTTGTACTTTCTTTAAAATTAGAGGAATTACTCCTTACTGAAACTTCTTCCCCTTATTCTTCCAGCCGCAGGCTTTAGTAAGTTCTGGCCTTTATATCTAAGCTACTGCTGTTTGCTGCTGGTGCTTTGCTTAGGATGAATCCATGCTTCTGCTTTGCTTTAGTTATCAAGTGATTCTCTTTAGGAGTTTTGGTTTTGTGCAAATTAAAAGCCATGGTAATATAAGTAATGGCAAGAGAAGTAGAGCAGGTTGTATCCTCTCATCATCAACAGTTAAAGATTAGCATCTGTGGCTTACCTTTAGCGCTGCATCCATAAGTATATTGACTAATTCAGAGGTGCTCAAGTTCAGTCATTCCATTCTTGGAGAGTCAGTTCAACACCCAAATATGTTTTTCTTGAGTGGAATAAAAAATCTTGCTTGATACTCTTGCCTGTCTTTTTCTTTCACTTCTAGTATATTCTTCCTGGTAGCCTAAATCTCTCTCAGAACTATCAAGTTATATTACTTTGGTTTTAGTAGATTTTAGTGCTTTTTTTCCTATTTGTCTAAGAAACAGCAAAAACCTTCCAGACAAATAACAAACCTGTAATTATATTTTTATATATTTCTGAATTGCTTCTGATTTGTGATGCTCTCATAACAGAGGTCTAAAAATTGAATGTACTATTCACAGAGTAATGATTGTAAATCTGTATCTAGCACATGTTTTGTTACAGGATTTCAGCTCTTTATACATCTCATCGGTGGACAAAGAATCTCAGAAGTACTTTAGAAAGTAGTTAATGACCAGGATATTAAAATGTAGTTGTTGTAGAAAAAAATGCGTTGCGTAAGTTCTTTGATTCTGTGAAATCTGCATTTGTTGGGAGAAAACTTAATAAAATACAGTCATACATGTGCATATTTTAGGCTTCATAAGTGAAGTCTTTGTCGTATGCTCTAGATGGGATAATACTACTTTACCATAGATGTCTTTATGCCGTAATTTTTTGTGATTTCTTTTTTTTCTGCCTGAAATATGCAACCCCAGGTTTAAGTACCCAACTTTCTGATTTTTAAAGATTTAATGTTAGTATATTGGATGTTCTTAATCAGAGGTTTCCTGAGAAACTCCAGATGTGTTTGTTTTTTCCAGGAACTAAGTTTACCTTAGCAAAGGTTGGGAAACCTTGTATCTTTAAGAATGAGAGGCCAGTAAGTGAAGTTGGTCTGTTGGGTAGGTAAAGAGGAAACAAAATAGTACATTTCCAGTTGTATCACTTTCGCATTCCAGTGGTTAGAATAGGTTGGTTTGTATACATTTAGTGTGAATACTGTAAGTTGTTACAATGATAAAACTGACTTCTTTCCGTAGTTAATATCTGCTCCTTTGGATACAGTTGCTTAAAATAAAAAAAGTGTTTCTACTGAGTGGTCAGAATAGATTTTGAAAGAAAATTGTATGCTCAAAAGTGAGAGTAGCTTAGTAAATGAATATGCTTTAACTGTATGGGTTATGTATACCTGAATGGCTTCTTCAGAATGTAACTACTATTTTCTGTATATAAAACCCTGTATTGGCAATTTATTTATAATTAGGCAGTGTTTTATGGGATTGGACTTTAATTAAAGAGTTAATTCTAGATAGTCAAAATTTTTTAACAACTATTTGCTAATGAAAAATAATTGTCTTTATGCCATGAGGCATGTGCAATAACTTTGTTGTGAAATTGCTAGAAGCATTTCTCATGTATCAGTAAAACTTCTGTCAGCGTCTACCAGTAGCTGATATATGTGGTGAAAGGGCAGAACTGATGCAACTGGGTATAGGAGCATTGGAGTGGGGATTGGTAAGGAGCTGCGCATGAAGAGAAACGAAACTCAAAGAGCAGAAAACATAAAGACATGAGAAAAGAAAGACCTAGGCAGTTTTGTCTCATCAGAAGCGGTATGTCTTCTCAGTTACAGGCAAGCACTGCCTCCAGAAAAGCCAGCTCAGGAATCAGAAAGTGTCAGAAGCAATATAGGAAGGACAAATATATGGAATTAAGGCCAGGGGCTGTTTGGGGGGGGGAAGTGGGGGTGGTGTCGGCTAGGCTGGACACTGGGGCAAGGGAAATAAGGGCATGGTCCTCATTTGACATTTTAATTCCCCATTTAGTAGTCAGGGCTGTAACATTGCTTCATGGATGATTTTACACATAGATATCAGAGCACATATTTCTCTTTAATGGGAGGTCTGAGGACAGAAAGTGGGATTTGTTTTTTTTCCATTTGTTTGCAAACAAGCATTAAAATACTTTTGTGCCTACTGGTCTTACCTATTTTAGTTTGAGTACAGCAGGTGTTTGCATATGATTGCAATTGAAATTCTCAAAGAAAAAAAAAATAAGTTACTGAGATCTAGCCAGGATACTACTCATTACCAACAGGGAAGTTGTAGTTTACATAATAGAAACAGAATTATTGCACACCAGCAAATGAAAGTTGCTGCTCACTACAGCTGCATCCTAAATGCTAAGTTCAAAGAAAAAAATCAGTGCTTGTTCATACACATACAATGTCTGTGTGAGAAATTTTGCTTAAACTTGTAAACAATGACTATCTTAATCAATGCTGAGCTATTAGCTGTTTAGAAATGACACTTGAATATCTTAGGGCTGTTGAATAGCATAAAAGATAGTATAACCCTGAAGGAGGAGTTAGAATGTAATGGAAATGGTTTAGTAAATGTACATCATATGCAAACAACATGGTATATAATACAATGTTTTCTCTCTAGAGGTGGTTAAGACTCGTGTGCGTAGACATAGTTAAGGTAAAAAAACCTGAACAAATTTCTTTTGGGTGTAGTGCTTTCTAGAATGTGAAGAGGATTTGACATACTTCAAACTTGGCCTATCGAAGCAGGTCATGGTGATATTTTACTGCTTTTTTTTAGACCAATGCTTTTCCTTATGTAATTTTTCAAGCACTGAAAGATAGTATTTCTTATATAGTAGAGAAATAAGAAGTTTCTTTTACAAGCCAGATGCAAAAGCTGATATTTTCTTATTCCAGTAATATCTAGAATAGCTAGGAAGAAACCAGCTTTGTGCAGTCAGAAGCTCTTAGGTTTTTAACCTCTATTTATGATTTTTCTGTTACTACTAAGGATTACATTACATTTAAATGAATTTTGTTTTCAGAGAAACAAGTCTGTCAATGTGATGGGCTGTTTATCAGCTTTCTCTGTGCTTGGGCCTTTCTGTAAACAGAATTTTTATAGAAAATGGATGTGTGATATGTCCTTACTGTGAAAAAAAGATAAATTTCTCTTGTTTCATGACGTAGCCTTGTGAGACTAAATGATGAAAACTCAGATACTATTTTGCAAAATACCTATTTCCTGTATGAATGATTTATGTATTAAATTTGTTCCTTTCTTAATTAGATCAGTCAGTGTGGTGAGTTCAGGAAAGTTGAGGCTGTCCTCAAGAGGAGGAAAATAAAGCATGAAACACATTAAATAAGAAGGAACACAATAACACATTAAATACAGGTTTTAAAGTATACTATAATTCTGTAATTTGTAGGCTAGACTATAAATCTAGTGACTAAATGTGGCATCCGGTAGTTAGACTGTTTCTGAATTCTGGAAAGTGTTGGAGGGGGGTGGCTTTCCAAAAAGCAGTTAATTATTTCTACTACTTGTGTGGATAAGTAATTTCTGAAGCTATGAATTTGGAAAATAATTGGGTTTGTCTGGTTTGCTTTTTTTCCTTCCTTTTCCCCCTTTTTCTCTTTGCTCTGTAGAACCTAAATAAACTCAGTTTACCAGATGAGATTGAGATACGACTTAAATCTCCAGGGAGGGTGGTACTCATTGTGCAAATGGCTCATAAATAACCATTCTCTAATTAGAGTGAAATTACTTACTGAGCTGCTGGAATGTTCTTTTCAAGCTACACTTTGTATGAACTCTGCTGTGGGTTCATGTGCATCCCACACGCATGGATTGCCTTTTTATGTTTGGTTGTATCCATTGGGAATGCATGTGTATCCCAGGTGCCCTTATCATGTAAGGGAGAAACCAAGCCCGTTCTTTCCTTTGCATGTAGCACTGAGGCAGAAACCTAGTAATGCCTGCTTAATATCACTAAGCTTGATAATGGCTGGGGACTCTTTGAAATTTCCCATGTGCCAACTTGCTATGACTTAATCAAGATCCGAGGCTTCAGATTTGCCCCCTTTGCAAAACTGCTGAACTGTTAAACTCTGGACACTTCACATTCCCCTCTTGCCTTTGTGAAGTTTGGTTTTGACAGTGGTGTCGTCTGCTGCTCCATCTGCAACTGAATATAAGCTTTTTCTTGTTCAATTTCAAGCTGTTTTAGTGGAGTACTTAATGAAATCATTACTGCAATCTTGGAAATAGAGAATTTGTCAAGTTCACAGTATGAAGGCAAATTCCTGAAAGCATCCATCTTTAAAAAAGTTAAATCTCTTGGCAGCTGTTGGGAAGAACAAAGGACATACCACTGTAAAACATTATTAATAATCGTAGAGCACCAGCTCAATGAGAATGAATGAGCATAGGTGTACTCTTAAGACTCCAGAAAAATGAAGTGAAAGCTCTGTTCATTTCAGCAAACTGGTAGTCTAGATTTGCTTCCTTTGATAATGCAGTGTTGTACTTGGGCTGCTTCCCAAGCCAAAAATTGGTCTCACTGTAGTTTGGTTGATGCACATTTTACTTTTATGCCAAGTACTCTTGCACTGCTTGTGTTTTCAATGCTGATTCCAAGAGTTGCTGGCAGTATGAAAACAGTGCAAGAGAGGAAGAATTCTAATTTAAAGTATATCACCTACATGTGGAAGTCCTGAAAAATAGTGGAGTGAGCCAAGCAGTGCGTCACCTGAGGAGGGACTTCTTGCTGTAGAGGAAAGTAATCTGTCATATGCAAGGACTAAAGCTATGTAAAATGAGTCTTCTATGGTATGGTTTTAGATAATTAAGAGAAGATACCAGTGACGGAGGAGAACTAGTGTCTTAGAGCTCTGAAACCAAATGAACTCTCAAAGTGAAGACTGAGACAAAGTTTTGTTGTTTTGGAAAGAATCACTTGTCTTTTTTTTTCTTTTTTTTTTTTTGTAGGGAAATGATTGGTTTAGCAACTTACAATACAGTTTCGTTGCTGAAAGCAAATTAATAATAATCCAAAGTACTGCAGTGCTGGAACATTATGCAAGACCATTGGAGAGGATTAGAAAAGCAGGTATTGATTATTTCAGGATGTAGACTGAACAACCAGGCTTTTAGGAGGAGATGTTAGAAGATCAGGGGATTTCTTAATCTTGTGTTACCCTTGAAGCGGCTACTACTATAGTAGTAGTTTGCAGATGTGTTGCATCATTGGACTTTTTTTTCCTCCAAACTTGTGCTTAATGAGTTTGCTTTAAAATCCAGAAAGAATAGCTCAGAGAACAGTCATTTGACATATCCTCAGTATGCAGCCTGTCAAGGAACTTTAGATTATCTCTGGTGTCCGTTATAGGTGTGACACAGATGTACCTTTGTTTCTCTCATCCATTAGCAGTATAATTTTGTACAACATTTTCTAATGGAGTTGACCTAAGTGAATCTTGCTGGTTAACCTCTTTTAGAAATCAACCTATGGGCTGCAAAGCAGGTTTTGTTCTATCTGCATTAAAAAAACAGAATTATAAATTCTCAATAAAGCTAGATTTCTGGGTGTTATTTGTTTTGAGGCTGCAAGCAGGGAAGCTCACTATACTTTAGATTCTTCCTTTCTTCAAAATAGTGATTCTCCATTGGGTTTTAGTTTTAGTAGATGACATTCACGTATTTGTCATATTATTTTCTGGTGTGGTGCTGGGCATCCTCCTTTACAGTCAGTGTATTCCCATGTGGTTGATTTATTATTGATTAGAACTGGCTGGATGGCCACACACAAAGAGTTGTCAATGGCTCAGTGTCCATCTGGAGACCAGTAACGAGTGGTGTCCCTCAGGGATCGGTGTTGGGACCGGTTTTGTTCAACATCTTCGTCGCTGACATGGACAGTGGGATTGAGTGCGCCCTCAGCAAGTTTGCCGATGACACCAAGCTGTGTGGTTCGGTTGATATGCTTGCTGGAGGGAAGGAATGCCATCCAGAGGGACCCTGACACGCTTGTGAGGTGGGCTGATGCCAACCTCATGAAGCTTAACCATGCCAAGTGCAAGGTCCCACACCTGAGTCAGAGCAATCCCAGGCACAGCTGCAGGTTGGGCAGAGAAGAGATTCAGAGCAGCCCTGCAGAGAAGGACTTGAGGGTGCGGGTCAATGAGAAAATGAACATGAGCCAGCAGTGTGCACTTGCAGCCCAAAAAGCCAACCATATCCTGGGCTGCATCAAAAGGAGCATGACCAGCAGGTCAAAGGAGGTGATCCTGCCCCTCTACTCTGCTCTCGTGAGACCTCACTTGGGAGTGTTGTGGGCAGTTCTGGTGTCCTCAACATAAGAAGGACATGGAACTGTTGGAACAAGTCCAGAGGAGGGCCGTGAGGATGATCAGGGGACTGGAGCACCTCCCATACGAAGACAGGCTGAGAAAATATGGGCCTGTTCAGCCTAGAGAAGAGAAGGCTGCGTGGAGACCTCATAGCAGCCTTCCAGTATCTGAAGGGGGCCTGTATGGATGCTGGGAATGGACTCTTCCATTAGGGACTGTAGTGATAGGACAAGGGGTAATGGGTTAAAACTTTAACAGAGGAAGTTTAGATTGGATATAAGGAAGTTCTTTCCTGTTAGGGTGGTGAGGCACTGGAATGGGTTGCCCAGAGAGGTTGTGAATGTTCCATCCCTGGCAGTGTTCAAGGTCAGGTTGGACAGAGCCTTGGGTAGCATGGTTTAGTGTGAGGTGTCCCTGCCTATGGCAGGGGGGTTGGAACTAGGTGATCTTAAGGTCCTTTCCAACCCTAACTATTCTATGATTCTGTTGAAGGTTTTAAGAGACTGATCATCCTTTAAATGTTAGTGTTTGTATCCAGTGGAATGCCATCATGTCTTACCCTCAGTGTTGCATTTTTAATCTACTTTGAAAAATTAAAAATAAGAAGTTGCAGTTGACACAATATCTGATAGTTTGGGGGGTTTAAAGGTACCCCTCTTAACAGACTGTGTGAATATATACATGGGATTCAAGAAGTTAGTAAGAAAAACTTAATCTAACAGACATAAGCTTAATAAATTGACTGTTTTGGAAGCTGAAGTGAGATAAATCTGCACTTAAAATTCACACATTGTCTCCAATGTAGATTGGAATAAGTTGTTCATAATGTTCATGATTCACTGAAAATCACTGAAAATTTAAATCCTAGATGGCATTTTCCTAAATAATATGCGCTTCAAATTAATCATTCAAAATCATACCCATTGATAAATAGATCTTGGAATTACTGTTGCTGTTTCCAAAACATGTTACTTCAATTTCCAGTGTTAGACAAAGTAAGAAAATGGAATTGTAGTCATCATTAGCAGTGGGAACAAACTGGGAAAGCTTATTATGGTAGTTCATAAAGCTATTATGCATTGAGACCAGAATTTTATCTGTGGTTCTGTTTGTCTCAGACAAGAAAAGATAGAGCAGAGGTAGCAAGAGTCCATAAAAAGATTAAATGCATAGTGAAACTTATAGAGTTTTTTTATATGAGGAGAGATGTGGACTAGTTCAGCTTGGGGAAGAGATACAGCAGAGGTGTTATGTAATCTGGCTATGCTGACAGAGAACAAGGAGTTGTGGTTTGTGGGGCTTTTTAACAAGACTGTAGGGCACCAAATAACAATCGTCATGTAGAAAAATAGCTTACGTAGATCGCACCACTGGAGATCAAAAGTAAAAGTGTGTTCAAATGAGATTGTGTAAATGGACATTAATCTATTAAAGTTAAGCAATTAAACTCAGTTGCATGAAAAGTCCTTAAATGATTGGCAGAAACTAGGATGGAAAGAATGTGTATATGCATGTCCCTGTTCTTGTCATCTTCCTCTAAAAATTCATAACTAACATTTCTAAGGCTCATGTTCTTAATTTACATTATGTTCTTTTGCTTGATTGGGTTGCAAGGGAGACTGAGGTGTCCGACCTTATTAGTGTATATAAATATATAAAGGGGGAGTGTCACGAGGATGGAGCCAGGCTCTTCTCAGTGGCAAACAATGATAGGACAAGGGGAAATGGGTACAAACTGGAACACAAGAGGTTCCACTTAAACTTCTCTGAGGGTGACAGAACACTGGAACAGGCTGCCCAGGGAGGTTGTGGAGTCTCCCTCTCTGGAAACATTCAAAACCCGCCTGGACACATTCCTGTGTAACCTTATCTAGGTGTTCCTGCTCTGGCAGGGGGATTGGACTAGATGATCTTTTGAGGTCCCTTCCAATCTCTAGCATACTGTGATACTGTGATACTGTGAGGTGGGTCTTGTGCTGGTTTCTTTAAGGAAGGTGAACATAGTGCTTAGCTATGTAAATGTTTTAGAGGTGCTTGAGAAAGACGTTTTGCATTTGGAAAACTGAAGAACAGAGCTATAAATGGCTGGTCTAAGATTCCTTTGAGTTTCATGCAAGGTTTATGACTCAGTGTTTCTAGTTTTATATACTTTCTGTTTGATTTTGACTGCGTTCCAAGGTAAGAGAGATGGTGGCTGATTTTGTTCAATACGTGCTGCAATACAATTAGTACGTATGGTAGGATTGGCTTATGTTTATTTAATGTTCTTTGGAAACAATCTTTTCTGCTTTATACAGGAGAAGGAACTTTCGGCATTTAGAATAAAGAAAAGTCCTTAATTAAGACTTTCTTGGCTCTCTTTTATTTTCCTTTTCTAATTCTGCCTGTTGATTCTGGTTTGTCCTGTGTTGCAGGCGATTACCTGGAACAATAGATGTGATTGGACAGACAATCACTATCAGCAGGGTGGAAGGACGACGGCGTGCTAATGAAAACAGCAACATACAGGTTTTATACTGCAGATTTGCACACAGTCTTTGACCAAGAGATACCTTTGCTTTCCCCATAGCTTCTGATAAAAACATTTTGGTATTTATGAATGAGTAATACACAAGTAACTTTAAGTTCAGGAACAAGTTTGTGGCAGCCAATTAAAATCTATTAATATGAAATACACATCTTACTGGAAGAAAATGAGCAGTATTGCAGACTTACAGTCTAGGAGACAGCATTGGCTCTGCTAGTTCTGCATGGATAGAGTTTTGTTTACTAAGTAACAAAGATAAATATCTAAACTGACTGTCCATTTCTCCTCTTCCTGACAGACACAAAGCTGAAAGTGAAAGCCTTCAAAAAATAAGTTGCGAAGGAATAAGTAGCAGATAGTACTTTAAAAAAAATGTATTTTTTTACTATAAATTTTAAGATTGTCTTCATAATTTTAGTCTTTAATGGCTTGGATCATCTTAAGAAAACAACTAAATGTGTTAAGATGGAATACACTTTTTCTCTCCTGACTTAGCTGTGGAGAAGAATCAAGGCTGCTTGGTGCCCTAGCTGCATTTCCATGCCAACTTAGGTTAAGGTTAAACAATGAAAATAATAACAGATAGTGCTTATATTGAAAACAATGCTGTGTGTTTTTCAGCTGATCTCACAGTGTTTTAAGTAATTAAAGTCTTGAGGGATTTTTTCATGCTTTCCATATTGGTTTTTAAAATATTTCTTTCTAGATGAGTTTAAGATGGAGTATTGGGCCATATTCAGAGGGCTTATATTCCTTCTCAAATCTTACATTTGTTGTTCCCTATTGGCTGCTCTAAGGCCCTGAGAAGTACTTGGCGAGTATGGGACACCAAACGTATAGATGCAGATAGAACTTAAACCACCTGAATATGGCTCTTTAAGTGCATAAGTAACACTTCCCTGTTGTAGTAACTGGAAAGAGAGGAAACCTATCTTCTACCCTTTTGACATAGCAATTGTAACTATAGTTTGATATTTTACAGGTTCTTTCAGAACGATCTAATCCTGAAGTAGACAATTTTACCAAGCCACCTCCATTTTTCCCTCCAGGAGCTCCACCTACCCACCTTCCACCACCCCCTTTCCTCCCACCCCCTCCAACTGTTAGTACTGCTCCACCTCTGATTCCCCCACCAGGTAAATATCCTGTACTACATTGGATGTGAAAAATGAGATGCTTTAACATCACATGCTTGATGATAGATAATGAATTAAAGACAGTGCCTTCCATTCACATATGGCTGGCTATATGTGCAAAATTTCAGAATTTTGTGGGGTTTTTTTCTGTTTTCTTAAACATGTCTGCCAGGCAGAAATAAAAACTTTTGTCTTTACTTTCCCAGAAAGCATAGTCCCAAGTAGTAAATAATTACTTAAAGATTAAATGTTGGATCTGCTGTCCTTGAAAATGTTTGAGGTGAGAAGCTGTTGTCTGTAATTCAGCCACTGTTAATGCTGTGGAGAGGTGCATGTTAAATCATTCTATAAACTTTTGAACTGGAAGTATGGCATGCCGTGAATTTGTGTCATAAATTGGGTTGTCTGAGGTCACAGCAGCAACAGAAACTTTAATGCCCCTTTCCCCTCTCAGTATGTATGAATTCCTGAAAGTCTGATAAGAATTGCATTTGTGTGCTATCATTTCTTTCAGTCAGAGGTTTTATTAGCACCTGCTGTTTTATCCAACACTCTGCGTCTGTGAATCTTAGAGGAATCAAAGCTCTGAGAACTCTTTTCATTGTTAAATCTGGTTTGAGATTTACCAATACTGAATATTTGCCGAAACTTGGTATTTACGGAAATTTACTGGGAGGAGTGTCATGGGCATTTGCACAAATAATGCAGCTACCTGAGCAGTGTCATTTTAAGGACTTAAGTTCAAAGGACTTTGTGGGGAGCTAAGAAGAATGATCACTGAGAAATGAAAATAGGTGAAGAAACTTAGGGGAGTATAGGAAAGTGAAAGATTTGTTTAAAGAGACTGATTTAAGGTAGAGACCTGTTCCTTATTTTCTCCATTTGTTCCTTGCATTCTTTTGCTTGACTTGTTCTGAAATCACATTGAGCAGTTTCCTTGCTATTCCGTTCACATAGCAAATCTTTTAAAAGTTTCTGTTAATTCTTTTACATATAAGCAAGGAAGTAACATTATTATTTCTGAGCAGCAACTTTGCGTGGGGCTTTGCAGGGCTTAAATCTTCATAGAAGAGGTTGCTTTCTTCAGTTGCTGCTGATGATTTTAAAACCATTAACTCCTGAAGCCTGCCAAGTTCTGGATTTCATCAGTGATTGCCATACACAAAACAGTGCAACTTAGAAAACAAAAGATGAGGTTTAAAGATTAAGTAAATCTGTGCCTTTTCCAAGTTTTTGTGCATAAATACAAAAAATGGGGTGCTAAAGACAGAATACGCTGCTGTTCTGGCAATTTTGTGATGTTTCCTTACTACAGGAAAGGTGGAGAGGAATGTGATGCTATTGCAGACTGGGTTTTAAGCTGCATTAAAATCATTCCAATGGAATAATATAGGAAATGCATTTTAAGTTTTTAGAAAGTAATTATTTTAATCATGATACAGAAAAGGTGATCTAAGTTGTGTATTATTAAAAGCATGAGCACAGACACCCCAGATGCACTTAGTGCAGGGATGTCATATAGGTGTACTACACTGTTCTGAAACCCCTCACCTGTTGAGCTTTTAAAGGTGAAAGAAATTCGCATGTGTTATAAATTTACCAAGCAGGTTTGGCTTTAGTCTTGTGGTTTACAGACAGGTTTATGACATACACTTGTTCGGAAGGTCTCCTTCAACATCCTTCCATGCTTCGAGCAGATTCGAAAATAACGATTAAGAGCTGTGGATTTGGTTTCTTCAGGCCTGTGTTTTAATTGTGCTGTTGCCAGCTCTTTATCTTCAAAGCTGTTTCTAAAATAGAATCTGCCATCCCTCCTAGGTTCAGTGGAGGAGGAGGAAAAAAGCTACTCTTACCCAATATTAAAGTGGGACTACTTGCCAGAAAATTTAAGTATTCCAAATATAAAACATCCTCCAAAAGTGCCTTTGAAAAAGGATCTTGCTTTGAAGTTAGATCTCCTGTTCTGAGTTCATTCACTCTTGTGATTCAGATCTTTTTCAGGAGCGAGTGCTAGAATGATTCAAAGGGCCAAGTGCAGAAAACTCTCAAATACTCCTAGGAGAACACTGGCTGTGGCAAAAAATGTGTTGTTTTTTGTTTGCTTGGTTTATTGCTATGTTGGAGTAATTTAAATCTGAAGAATAATGTGGATGCTTTAAAAACAGGCTTTAAAAGGTGTTTTACGTGTTTTGGTTTAAAGGTGTAGATAAAATGGGACACGTATTTGTGATACTTAAAAAAAAAATACTCTGAAATGTTGAACTTCTGTTGCATAACTTTGGGAATTTTGACTGCCTAGACAGATACCAGGGCTTAGCAAGTAGCAGTGCATCTGTTTAGGCCCAGCAGTCTTAAGTGTGTACTTTTTACTCTTTGATAAAGGAGAGGGAATTTGACTTAGTTGAGTCTGTGGCAAAAGAAGTTTTTACACCAAGTTAAGTTACAATGCCGTGAACTGCTACACATTTCAGCTTATTTGCAGTATGTTGTTAAGATATGGCAGCATTATCATGTTTGATTCCTTACTCAGCAAGGGAACACATGTAGCATTGCTTTCCTTTAGTAAAACCTCCTTGGTTTTCTATAAGTAACCAGCCTTGAGATACTAGGGTGGCATACAATGTTGTGAATGCAAGTTTGAGCATGTTAGGTAAAATGCTGCACACATGCTATTTGTTTTGCTTTTGACACATGAGCCTGAATATTAAGGTTGGGGCCAGGTGCATCTTTGTGGCAGTATGTGTTGGAGGGATGTGACATGATATGCCCTAAGACATTTTCTTGCAGTGGTACTTAGGTTAAATCCCTACATGGAAGAAATGATTCAATATTTTAGAGCTCTTGTTCTTAGAAGTAACTGGCTGATGACATGATGACATTTCAAATATATTTTTATGCACTGTGAGTAAAAGGCAAAGGAGTGAAGAGTTAAGAGATACTCAATTTTCTGTTAACAGAAGTTTACAAATTCTTTTTGTTTCTCGTTTTGTGTCATGTTTGTTAGTGAAGAAGGTGAGGAATAAGCTTTTAGTTTTCAGGTTTTTTAGTTCATATATTTTTAGTGATACTTGCTAACTTGGAATGTAGAAGAATATGTCTTCCATTATGATACAATTAGGTAAATCAGCTGCTGTCTTCAGTAATCATTAGTCACAATTTTTTAAATTTTCTTAAAGGTTTTTGAGAGAAAATGCCTGTGATTTGGCTGGAAGTTTTTTAGTGTAATAGCCCTGCATTAACCATTAAAATGATTTGGACATTTGGTCTCTGTATATTAAATTGTATTATTCTATTACAGTTTTTTTTAATGGCTTTCAAGTGAATGTTTTCATTTGGCTTTTAAGCTTGTGATGAGATTTCAGTTTGTATTTCTGCACAAGGGAAAATTCTGATGAATATATTAATGTCTGAATTTCTTCCTTTTTGTAAAGAGTATTAGCTGATGGCTTTCCAGGCAATTCTGTGCATAGGGCTGAGAGCCATGTTCAGTGCTAAGCATATACTGCGTTTAGTGCAGCAATTGATTGGGTTTGGGGGTTTTTTAAGCATAAGGTGGAGCTAATAAATGAATCAGAGAGAACTGGTATTTTTCTAGCTTACATTCTTAACATTTCTGGTGAGATATTTATATAGTTTCTATGTTGTAGACTCATGAAGACTCTATTAAGGTAGACAAATAACCAATAAGGATTAACAGAAAATACTTGAGCTATGCCGCAGTTTCAGTTCCCAGTCTTCCTTTCAGAAATTTTCATTAGGAGTGTTTAGTCTTTCAAATGTTACTCTGTCAAAGTTTTTATTCTGTGGTTTCCAGTGTTTTTAACAACAGTAGCTTTTAGTTAGATTCATAACAGCTAAGGTAGTTCTGAAAACCAGAAAAGTTACAACAGTTTTTGATTTTTTGTGTTTGTATTAAAGGGTGTTCTTCTGTCAGATATTTACAAGAAAATAGAATACCAAAGAAAATATTTTCCTTCAAGTAGCAACTGAATGATTAATTGCGGTGTGGCATAGCATTGACTGAAAAGTCTGTAATGCTTACTGTTGCTAGAATATTTTGTCCATGTGGGCCTCACTATTTCCAGTGCTAAACTGTGACAGTTTGGATGACAATTGTGTTTCCTTTCATCCAGCCATGGGATATAAAATAAAGCAAATATACTCTAAGGGATGTTACTTTCCTTCTGGATACTAAACATTTTAGGGTTATGGATTTAATTCTAAACTTGAGACCCAGAGTCATTTTTCGTTATTTTTATCTCTAATTATATAAGATCCTAGGGAATAGGAGCTTAAATAAAAAGCCAGATTTCACAAGTCTTGCATGAAATCTTAACAGTTGCTATTAATATGAGATTTTGATCTAAGGACACATAAAGTGAGCTACCATTCTTCTTGATCATGTATGTGGTGATAGCTCAATCTGATTTTAGATCTACAGATAATAAACTTACTATAACTGATATATTATTTGTTGTTGTCTTAGGTATACCAATAACAGTGCCACCACCAGGTAAACTTGTTTAAATTTTCTTCCACATTTGATTAAGAAATGAAAACTTAAGGGATGTGCAACTTACCAACTTCCTTTTAAATTTCTAGATAAAAGTTCATAAATACAAAACCATACATATAGATGTAGGCTCAGTTATTTTCATGCCAGGCTGTTTACTAGTGGACCTAATCAGCCTGTTTCTTAGATGTGTGCTTCCTCCTTTTCTTTCCATTTTTTTATTTTTTTCAGCTGTGCAGAAAATAAGTTCTAATTGTTGTTTACTAAGTATTGTTAAATACTCAGGAATTTTCCTATGCTTCTAAATCACTGTGTTTTTAAGAACGATAGGTATTTGATTTGGAACAGTGATAATGTACGTTTAAAAGTGAGCTTTCATTAAGCCTTACAGCATAAAACCCATTTACACAGTGAGAAACAAATTTTTGGGTTTTACTCTCTGGAATCTGTTTGCCATTATATGCTTAGCCTAGTTCCTTTATGTGTTTGTTTGTTTCCCCCTCCCATTTATTATTACAGGCTTTCCACCACCACCTGGCGGTCCTCCACCTTCCCTCATACCCACAATAGAAAGGTAATTATCTGTTTGAAATCTTACAAAGCAATATATCAATATTCTGTAACTGAAATAAATTAATAAGGGCTCTTATGGTACTCAGTGTTTTATGGATTTTATCTCGGAGCAGGGAGACAGGTTCAGATTTTTACAGAAATGTTACTAGTCTCACCTCTCTGACAATATTCATTCGACTTGGTTACTTGGCTACTTACTAGTTTAGTTGTGTTCTGATAAGATATCAATGCCAAGACTTAAGAACGAGGTCACAGTAATGATTGTTAAAGTTTTCTTTAGTAGTCTGAAGGCTTATTTAGGTGAACTGTATCCTTTTCTATAGATGCAAATAATCAATTTAGCCACCAATTCAAGCCCTCATAAGCTGTAGGAGATGCCAGAGTTCCACAGAATACAAATTTGTATTCCTGCTGTGTTTGATCTAAGTGTTCAGCTTTAATAGGCCTAACAGGTTCTTTTTTAATGCCTTTTTAATACAGACATACAAAATATGGATATTTTATATATATATATGTACATATGGATATTTTATATATATGTATGCACATATCTTTATTTCTTACATCTATACACACACACACATATATATAAAAGGAAGAAAAAAAGTTGGTCAGCACAGTCCTTTAAAAGTATTTATGTTTTACTAGAGGCCAAAACCAGATCATACACAAAGCTCTCTTTAAGAAGATGGTGCAAGCCTCTTGCCAGTACTTTGGATTTCACTGCAGGAAGGTGCACCCAACTGTTCCTTTGAAATTGAAAAATTCTATTAACATATACACTACAGGATGATAATGGTAAATCTCACAAAATCCTCATCTTACGTAATTCAGAAAAACACCTAGCTGGATGCATTTGATGTGCATGAAAGTAAATTCATTATTTCATACAGTTGCTGTGACTGCTCCTTCATGACTCTTAAGCAGAGGTTATTGCATCATTTACTTGGGAATATTAATATAGTTACTGAAATACGATGTGAAAGTATCAAGCTTATTGTGGAACCCAGGAACCAGATCTCATACTTTTAAATATTAAGATGCTGGATTAGCCTTTCATTATCAGTGGTGGTGTTTTGTCTTTAAACTAAGCTAATCCCAAATTTACTTCGTAATGTTCAAGTGCCTTCAAGAACAGAATAACACTTAGGTTAAACCTTGCAAAGATAATTCACTCAAGATATGTGGGAAGTGCGATAAGGTCATGCAAGAATTATATATTTATGAATTATGTCCTGTGCACAAAGCATCCTTTTTAACCTTTCTGGTTTTTACCTACTTGAGTTGGCTACCACTGAAAGAAGTCAGCCTAGAAAATGTGTAGCTAATTTAATAGTTTATTTATAGAACTACACATTTGAAGTCCACCTGTTCTTAGATACACTCGCATACCTACTTTTTAACAGAAAGAATGAGATTGGCTTCACTCATGAATGAAGCACGTTGAAGCAATTGCAGATTAAGTTTAGTATCTGTGCAGAAACATTTTATGATACAAGAAACTTTTGAAATAGAAAATTCATTGAAAATACAAAAGAGCAGCTTTGGCATAAATAATTTCTGTTTAAAATTTTAAGGAGAGAGAATGTGACTTTAAGCTCCTCTAATATATATTTGTGTAGATAGACAGTTCCCTTAATGAGTAATGCTCAAAATGGAGGACTTAAATCCATTTACAACAAACATTTAGTTTTATTCTGTATGGTGGTTAGAGTTCAGGGGAATAATATTAGAAGTACATATTTATTCATTTAGGTGGCTTTGGTAAATGGCATTTTAACATGTATTTTCTTTTCAACAGTGGACATTCTTCTGGCTATGATGGTCGTTCTGTTCGTGCATTTTCCTACGGCAGTGGTGAGCAAGCTTGCTGGTTTTGAAAATTTTGACTAGTGCTAGATTAAATTGCTTGATACACTCATGAGGATTTTTGCTAAGAGACTAAACAGGTCCTTACAGTAATTCATTTTGAAAGCTCATTGCCTACGATTATAAACAAATATGTGCTGCTGCAAATTTAACAGCTGTTGGTAAATACTGTTATTGTGCTTACTTACTCATAATGCTGGTTATCTTTCCACACTGCTTTTGCAGAACTCTGATTTTAAAAAATAATAGGCCGTAATATGAATCCTTATGGCAAAGAATTTCTTCTCTATGTCCAGTCTAAACCTACCCTTTTTCTGTTTAAAACCACTGCCTCTTGTCCTGTCACTACAGGCCCTTGTAAAAAGTCTCTCTCCATCTTTCTTATAAGCCCCTTTTATGTACTGAGAGGCCACAGTAAGGTCTTCCCAGAGCCTTCTCTTCAGGCTGAAAACTGGAACCTGGGAGAGACGTGCCAGATTCATGACGATTTTTCATGGCCTTCCTTTGGACCTGCTCTAACATGTCTTTCTTGTACTGCGGGCCCCAGAACTGGGTACAGTACTCCAGGTGGGGTCTCACAAGTGTGAAGAGAGGGAAAATTACATCCCTTGACCTGCTGGCCATGTTTCTTTGATGGAGCCCAGGATGTGATTGGCTTTCTGGACTGCAAACTCAAACTGCTGGTTCATACTTAATTTTTCATCCACCTCTACCCCTAGGTCCTTCTCTGCAGGGCTGCTCTAAATCAGTTCATCAGTCAGTCTGTACTCATAGTGAGGATTGCCCCAACCCAGTGCGGGACCTGACATGTTGTCAGTCATTGCCTCTTGCCGTCCAGCCCCATGCCTATTGCTTTTTCTTCCATCTGACTTTTTCTGTCTCCTTGTGCTCTGTTCCATTGGACCCTATCTGCTGGGAGAGGGAATGGTAGGGAAAATTCTGTCAAGTTGTAAGGATACATACTGTTTGGCACAGATCAAACGTTCAGATAATGTGTCTCTTCACAAGTCTTCAGAGAAGATACACAAAATGACATTTCTGAATGGCTTATAATTTCTTGAAGTTGGAGCTGTTTCTGGAGTAACAAGTCATACTTTGTTGACATTAAAAGGATCCTCATCAGTTATCAAGTGCTTGCCTGCATGCATGGAAGCTTGTTATGTTTTCAAGAATTCTTGACAAGGGAAAACAGCTCATTTATGCAGACTGCTTTTTTAGCAATAATTGAACTGTGTTTGCTGAAGTTTTAGCAAAAAGGTAAAGCCAAGGCAGACAATTGAGATACCCAAGTGGCTATTTGCTGAAGCTTCAACATCTAGTCATGCAGAGTATTGTATGGAATGCATTCTTAACAGTTATTAGTATGTACATTGCATCTAATATACAGTCTCCAGTTTAGAATGTTTTTCCTTTTGGAATATCCCTTGTTAGAATTTGCTATTCTGTCAACTACTGTCAGGGACACAAGAAGATTTCCATATTTTATGTTGACCTTCAGAGGTGTTGACATGTATATGTTGTTGCAGTACCAATATTAGAAAGATGACTGTCATCCTGATGATGCCAACATGGAGTTTGAACTCCTTCATCAGGATTAAAAAACTATATTTGCCTTTTTATGATTGTGGAGACCAAGGAGCACAGCTTGCTTCCATCTTCCCACTGTGTCTGGCATCCCTACTGTTGCAAAAGCTTTCATATTTGCAGCAAATTTTCTGTCTCTTAAGCTGTGCCTGTGATTGGGATTTTTGGATCTGTAGAGGCTCGGTGGTATTTTATTGCTGCTGTTCATCTCCAAGCGAAACATGTTTTCCTGGCCAGCATCTTACTCTTACTGTCCCTGTCTTACAATGTGATTGTTGGCCAGTATTTTGTCAGTGCTGTGTGTGTATCAGAACTTAGGTAAAGTGAAGGCTCAGCAACATACTAGGGTACAGATAATAATTTTAATGAAGAATCTCTAAGTATACTTATTTAATGGTTGCTTTGGATGATAGCACTGAATCTCCAACCTGTTGTCTTCTTTACCAGTCTGGTTATATTTCATGGCTTTGTCAAAGTTGTGGGGCATACGGAACATGTTACAAAAAGTACCAATCTTGATTAAGGCTCCAGCCTTTCTTCTGCCTATTCAGATTGCGAATCTCATGCCTCAGTGCCTATTCCTTGTGTCAGGCATGTTGCTCACTGCAAGTCCATTAGATAAGTTGCATAGTAAAATAATATTTTTAACCTGTAGCTTCAAGAATATCTATTTTGTCTTTGTGCTCTTCCACTGCCTCAGTGAGATTTCTTCAGTTTGATCTCAAACCTTTCACAATTTACACTTTTTCACAAATCTGCTTTGCCATCAGATCTTTGAATTTTATTGAGCTGTCAAAATATGGCACTGCATTGGTCTACCAGTGAAGCGACCTGTATGTTCGTTTCCTTTTTCCTCAAACATTTCTCTGTTCTGTGCTCTAAATGTTCATTATATCTTATGAACATGCAAGAAATTTAGCATTACAAAAACAGCTTAAAAGTCTTTTTTTTTTTTGAGGCACAAAGAAGTTGTATTAAATACTTTGCCTTATACTGTGATACCATGCAGCTTTAAATTTTTAAACCACCTCCAAAAGAGGACTTAAGCCTCTAAAACTATTGAATGTTCAAAGCTCCCTCTCTTCCTGTTTTAAAAATCAATTAGACTTTAGAATTGTCCTTTTTGTAGAAATTATTAGAACAATCCATGTGGGAATACTAAAAGTGACAAATTATTCATTCTAAGCATTAAATGCTGAGCACCAGTTCATATTGGAAAGCAAGCTTCTTGTATGTTGTGAACAATAATTGGTGAAAATCTAGATATAAAAGTGTGCAGAGTATCAAACAACTGGTTTATCTCATGTTATTGGGGTGAAAATGACATACTTCTGTCAGATGAGAATTACTGCAGATGTGGGGGAGTAACAAAAATTTATCATAAGAGTTTATGCTACCATTCATAATTGTTTTATAGTATACATTTAAAGTTAAGTTTACACTTTAGATCAGAATATTCTGGCAGCCAGTGGACCATACGTATGTTGTTGACATAGTGGCAAGTCAAGGAAATTAACAGTCTTTAAAGTCCAGCTGTTTTTTTGCTATTTCTGGCTGCTTTCCTTAGAAGAATTTCAGGTTTTGGCAGTATAATGAACAGCATACTATTGTATTAGGATATTTTTTTCTGTTAACTCCTCATTCTGTCTGTAGCTCTGAAATGAAACAGTGTCAAGCATTTGTTAAAGGCAAAGCCTCATATAAATGCTTTTTTAAAGACTTATAATGCTTTCACTGCAAATGTAGTTTAACAATGATGTGTTTTTTTCCTGCTCCACTGCCTGCTCAAAAGGTCTTTTGTATTCCTCCTTCGGATGTTTGGCAAACTGCTGTCTTAAGCTTCTGCCAAAGCTTTCTGGGGCAGGCATACCCCAGACGTAGGCAAGGCAGTCTGAACGTAGCTGTCAGGAGAAGCCACTGATTTTATAACTCGAGAGTATTAAATACAGCATCAGTAATGCACTTTATATTGTTCAGTGAAATATTTATGTTAATTATGCTATTAATGTCTCTTTGTGACACCATGGAGTCAAGTGAATATTGTTCTCGTATTATAGATAATGGAGTGGAACTCAAAACAAACGATTTATTGAAGGCTATGTTATCATTGGCTAGCAAAACAGATAAGCAGAAAGTGAGAAGTCCTCTGTACTGTAAGTCCACTAGAGAGTGCTGTTTCCAGTTAAATTCACAACCCTTATTTTTCATTGACAGGATATATTCATGTGACTTCTGGAAAGGGAGGGCAGAACAGAACAATTAAGACTAGTAGTTATTTGTTACATTGGATTTGGGAGAAAGCAATGGAGAAGCATGTCCCTTCTCTCTTCCCATTGCTGTTACCTAAAACTTCTTAAGCATATCGTCCTTAAGATAATACAGTTAATTTTCTGAATCTATTATAATTTAGCAGCAGCAGTGATTATGCTGAGTATTCATTAGAAATGGTATCTTACAAAGTATAAGTTAGGAGCATTAATTTCTTCTCCCCAGAACGAATTTCTGGAATTTCTTTCTAAAGCTGCTGTTACAGCTGTAATCAGAAAAGTATGTCAAAGCACAGTATAGAATATAAATCAGTGAATGAGAGCTTTGTAACTAACATATTCTAAATACAATGATTTTAAAGGACAAAACAAAATAGTAGCATCTAAATATAAAGTTGGAAGCATCCTTTTTCCTTGTTTTTCTGAACTGCACTTGGAGAGCCATTGAGTTTCAGAGGCAGTTTTGTTTCCTGGTTGTTTTTGTTTTGTTGTTCCCCCAGAACACAGCCATTTGACCACATAAAATGAGATTCTTTCAGCAAATCTTTGCACAATGTGGGGGTTTTGTGGGGGCTTGTTTCTTTTTCTCCACCTTTTTTTTTTTTCCCCAAAAAGAATTTAGACAGTCTGTGGGGTATATCCTGGTTCTAGAGATCTTCATAACAAGTATTTAAATGAGTGCCAGAGGCCTTTATTAGCATCATGGAAAAAATGCAGTGTTTGCTCAGAATTAACTTTTACGTGAAAGGGGAAGACTGAAAAATGTCACTGGAGGAGGCTGACAAACGCCTGTGTGTTCATGCATAAGTAGTATTGCAGTTTTCTGATGATATCTGATTTTGTTCTTTCTAATACCCACGTCTTTTTCTTTAGTCACCTTTCCGCACCTTGCAGGTTCCACTCCTTCATGGTCTAGTCTTCTGGACACCAGCAAGCAGTGGGATTACTATTCACGAAGAGAGAAGGATAGGGAACGTGAGAGAGAGCGATCCCGAGATCGGGATCGGGACCGGGACCGAGACAGAGACCGAGAACGTACCAGAGACAGGGAAAGGGACCGAGATCACAGTCCAACTCCAAGCGTGTTCAACAGGTAACTGAAATGTCGTAAGCACTGTAACCCTGTGTCTGTGTTACATAGTGTACTTCAGCATTAGAATTTAGTGTTCTGTTGTATATTCTGAAGAGCCAGAGGTTGCGGCTTTCTCCCCTTCCCCCTTTTATCTTGGAAACTATATAAATTTTAGAATGTAAAACAGAAGTGTAAAAAAGGCAGTATACATCCAAACTGGTCGTAGTGCTGTACAGGTTAAAGGTGTGATTTAAGCCCTGTGTGTGATATACACAGCTCTATTTGACATCAAGATTTCCAGAAAAATCCATGGAAGTGCTCAGTGAATCTTAGTTGCCAGTTCGGTGCTAAGAGTAATGTGGGGCAACATTTGACCCTAATTAATGGTGTTACTAGCTGTTAAAATTGTTAGTTTGGTCATTAGCACTGGCTGGATAGTATTCTGTTCTATCTTTTTTAAAAAGGCCCAGAAAACTTTTATACATTTCCAGGCAGATCATGACAATAATGACAGATAACTTCAGCTTTCAACTCTCTGCTTGCTTTAAGAAAAAAGAATTAAAAATCTGCAACTGTTCTGTGGTTCATGTGCACAAGTATGAAGCAGTTTTACATTTAACATTGAGCTTGCTTTGATTCCATTGAGTAGAGGCCTGTTGGCTTGCCAGGTTTATCTAAATTTACTTTGCTCGTTATTTGCCAAGTGTTTTAGCAAATTGTCCTGACACCTTTCTGAGTTGTTTGGGATTATTTTGTTACGTTTCAATTTTTGCAGAATATACGTGTTAGCTATTGGGTAGATGGTTTTTACCAGTGGTTTTACACTGTGGAGCATGAGCTCATGTGGAGTCAACATTACTTCAGTTGAAAGATGACATTTTTTGCATGATGACTGCTAGCTGAAGACCCAAAGTAGGTACAAGATAGGGGATTTTCCATGTATGCTGATGGGGTGATGTCCTCTCCCATGTGCATTTGCTGTGTTCCAGGGTCAGTTTCTGAGAACTCAAGACCAATCTAAACATCTGTTTCTCAGACAGCTTGATTGAAGGCCAGAAAGAAGCCTGGTCATTCAAGGGTGCTTGAAATGAACCTTAATAGCTTCCAGGCCTCGAGAAATCTCTGTGCTGCTGCCAGAGTTATCTGTAAAGGAGGGGGAAGAGCAGGCCTCAACTTTTTTATGTGACTAAATTATCCACCATCTGTAGCAAAGCTGTTGCCACATGGCTGTGTAAGAAAACAGGAGGCCTTTAACTAGTGTAAGTTAGTTTGGGAGTCACAGAGAAGTTGGGAGAGGCTTAAGAGAGAGCATGCAGGCACAATGTTTTTTAAGAGGGTTTATTTTCAGTTCTGTGTATGTAAGAAAATAAAAGAGCTATGAGGAGGAGAATGTGAACTCTTTTAGAGGCTATACGGATTCATTATGTTCAAATTCCCTTTGTTTAAACTTTGTTCAAGCGGCACTGTGGTAGGATTTGGAGTAAACATCATCTTCAGCTTTTTACTGCTCAGAAATTACTGCTTTCATTGTTTTTGTCAGTTCTTTTCCAGATAAGCAGGCTGTACTTGTGCTATAATATTTCTTAGAACTGTAAGAAAATGGAATTATTTTTATTCTATTCGTATAACCAAAATGTGGTTAAAAAATGAATCTTCAGGTGTCTTTATATTCTGCGTTACCTTTACCCTGCTATATCAGGTGAAATTACGTGTTTTTACACTGTATCTCAGTGCCCCCTTGAGAAGATGCCGTTCTTTTTAGACTGTTATCCCTTCTGCAAAGACTGTTTTCTTTTTTGTGTTTTGCTATTTTCAAGTCAATTTGTTACCACTAAAAATGTGCACTTTGGAATTTGACTGATAACTTACCATTTTGTTGTTCTTCCTCACCAATTTGACAAACAAAACCAAAACCCAACAGCTATATTTCTAAGGCCCTGGAATGCAGTAATCCCATGCAGCAGAGCAGATGGGGGTCTGTGTGGCTAGAAAGCAGCTTTACAGGAAAGGACCCTTCCAATCTCTAACATACTGTGATACTGTGATACTGTGACTTGGTGTCCTGGTGGAGAGCAATTGAATGGGACTCAACACCTAGTGTGTAATAAAGGTCAAAATGCATTGAGCCGTGTAAGAGTATAGCCCACAGATGGAGAATGCCATTATTCCCCTCTTATTTGGTACTTGACAACACATGCAAAGTTCTGTGCCCAGTTTTTGGTCCCGTGATGTGGAAGACATTGACAGACTGGAGACTCCAGTGGAGGTCTGACAAGGTAATTAGCAGGGCTAAGGGGATGGAGTGTATTTAGCTTGAAAGGAGAAGTATGAGGAGGGTTCTTAAGGCTGTTTTCAGAAGTATGAGGAGGGTTCTTAAGGCTGTTTTCAACACCTGATGGATGGTCATAGAGAAGATAAAGCTAGGCGCTTTTTCAAGGTTTACAGAGAAAGAGCAGGACATAGTAGTTAAAAGTCATAGCAAGGGAAATTCCAATAGTGAGGAAATAATCACAAAAGGAGTGATCAGGTGCTAAGACAGGTTTCAGAGAGAGATCATAGAATCTCCAGTCTTGTTGATGCTCAAAACATGACTAAACAAGCCCTGAGCTGCCTGACCAGACTTCTGAGTTAGCCCTGTATCGAGGAGGGGTTAGCCCAAGTGACATCCCCAAAGTCCCTTCCAGCCTAACTCCTTCTGTGATTCTTTGTTGAAGGGTTTTTTAAATATATGGGAAAGCTTTTTGAATACAGATATAAAAAGGTTGGTATCTCTACCAAAGTGAGATCTCCTCATTTGTGAAGTTAATAGCTTGGTGAAGTTGGGGTCAGTTTTGAAAAAGTAACCGAAGGTGTAGAGAACAAAGATACTATGGATTGGATTGGTTTGGGGCTTCTTTGCCAGGAGGGCACAGATAACTGTAGATCCTCTTCCACGGGTCAAAGGCTGTAGTGCTCTCAGTGTTGTCCCTGGAAGACTTTGATAACTGTAATACAAAGTGGGGAGGAGATCACTGCTGTAACATTGGGTACATGACATTTATTCCTGTTCTTAAAGCTCTAACATACTGGACTTGGCAAACTGGTATTTTGCTTTACTTATAGAAAGGTTTCTTATTTTCAGACACACTTACAAGCTGTCATGTTTCCTTAGTAGTTTGCCAAAATAAGGTTTATAAAGGAGTATCAATAATATTTAACCTTTTCTAGAGTGTTTTATAATAGTTGTATAACAGAGCAAATGCAGACTGTGAGTTAATGTTGAAAGCTTTGGCTCTCAACTTTGAAACCAAGCTGGAAGTCTACAAGTAGCCATAAGCAAGCTCATGAGAAAGCAATGTTAGACATTAAAATTTTCACTTTTTTATTAGACAGTGATCATCAAAATGTTAAGTCTGGGAAATAATATCGTATGTTGGGAGTAAACTACAGTTGAATTGATTCTGCCTTTCTCTATCCCTGCAAGCCTGCAGAAATGAAAGGTTCCTAAAACTGTGATGACTAGTGGCCCTTCAAAGGCGTTTTAATACAGGAGTCCCCCATCTAACAAAATTTTTCAGTTGTCATTCAAAGTCACATCAGGCCTTACCTTTGGTTATAACTTTCGGTAGATTTCAGACCCTAATTTTAATTTAATTTTTAACATTATACTGCCCCCCTAGAACCTGAGCTTTGTAACTGGACTTCACCAGGCACATGCTGTCTTTATGGTGCTGCTTTCTTACACACCAAATTAAGACACTCTTCAAACATAGATGAAATGAAGGCTGTCATTCTGAACTGCTGTGCAAGCTAGGTTAGTCTTCTCTTCCATATGGCTTGTCCTAGAAACTAGCAGTTGATATCAACCTTCATCTTTCTGTGACATTTCATTTTTAAGTGTCGGTTTTGCCCCTTTCCCTGAAGCCTAGCGTTAGTTAGGTTCTTACGAGAAGAAATGCTCAGTAGAATGGGACTTGGATTGTAAATGTCTCCCCTACACTTCTCTCCTTTCCAATAGTAGAATAGAAATTTAAAGGTAAAGCAATGGTAAACGATTGATACAGATCGAAACAGGTTAAAGGCATAGGACTGGGGATTTCAGCACTCTTAAGATTGGGGGTTTGTTTTCTCCCTTGCCCTCACCCGCAGCTGCTTTGGTTTACCTGTCTGAGTTTTGGACATCTCAGTGGAGCAGTTGCATTTCTTTTCACATTCTGGACTATAACCTAGTGTGCCTTAAGCTGGATGTGGAGTAGTATGGTCAGAGTTCGTGTTCTATGGCTGTTCTGCCTTCATTTTTTACAAGTTGACGTGTGTCTGTAGTAGGGTTTTCTTGTGGGAGAGACATTAGATTTAACATAGGCTTTTTAAAAAGTGTTTAGTGCCATTGAATTTTGGTTTTGTCTTAAGAGGGGGGCAACAGATCAGAGAAGGGATAGTGGCATGATGCCTGTGAGGGTTACTGAGCACAGGCACAGGCTGGCCAGAGATGTGGTGGAGTCTCCATTCTTGGAAGTAGCCAAGGGCCAATCTGGACATAGTCCTGGACAACTGATGGTCCTGGTGGCTCTGCCTGAGTAGGGGTTTGGACCAGATGACCTCCAGTCATGCCTACCAACCTGAACCATTCTGTGATAATATGATCTGTCACAAATGTACTTTACAGGGTTTGATCAGCTTATTCTCAGATCTGTATTTTTAAGTGTGTTATAAAATCTTATACATGTTATACAATTTTGTAACAATACAGGCACCAGTTAATGCAGTCATATTACAGATTGACATATTATAACTCTGAGTTCTTTAGCACTAGCTGTAGTTTTTCTGATTTTGATGAGTGAATGTTCTTAATGTCCCTTAGAAAACCAGGATTTTCCTGCAGGGCATTTGATGCTTCCCTACAGTGTCTCAAATTGCTAATTTTTGAAATTCGCTTCATGACATAATCCTACAGAGTTTCATAGGAAGACTAGTGCCCAAGTTACGGCAAATAGAATTGTTTTGATCCAAGTTCTCACTGCTCCAGGACACGGAAAATCTCTTGAGCTGTCAAATATGAAAATATGTTCTTAAATAAAGCCTTGACATTTTTGTGTAGCCTGTAATGTTTAGGGGGTTTACCAGCATTGTGGCAGGGCTGCACTAGAAGTAATCCAAGAGAGGAGTGGAAGTAGAGGCATCATTGGCACTGGACATGAAATGAATTTTAAAAGCAGCCCAAAACACTGAGTATATGTTACTGTTGGTCCCTTTGCACCCAGCTTTTCCTTTCTTGATGTAAGGAAGTAAATCAACTGTACCAAAATTTAATTTAAATTACCCAAATGGTGTAATAGTTACAAAGTGTTCTGGTAAGTGTTGAGCTTTACACACACTGATCTGAACATAACTAAAGGTTACGTAAGATTGGACTTTTATTTGCAGCTAGATACAGGTTTAAGCTAACTGCTTGGTAATTCCCGTATAAACGTGTGACCCTGTTGTACCTTCCATTTTGTTGATCAATCCCCTTTCAAAATTGCATTAACCACAGAAGTCTTAATGTGTAAGGTGAAGAGTTTTAATGGCCTTTTAGCGTATGTGGTGGATCTCATCTAAAAACTCATCAGCAACATTAATATTTTTCTATCTATCTTGCGAGTGTGTAAGAATTTCTTTTTTAGCATATATACTGCTTGGTATTACTGTCCTGAAAATGTCTTCTTTTTTAATCAGTGATGAAGAACGATACAGATACAGAGACTACGGGGAAAGAGGCTATGACCGCCATAGAACAAGTAGAGAGAAAGAAGACAGACACAGAGACAGGAGACACAGAGAAAAAGAAGATACTAGGCACAAGTCATCTCGAAGGTTTGATTTTTGAGTTTTTTAATAGGATATGAAAGATCTGACCAGCTTAAAAAAATAAACTTTTAAAAGACTCCCAAACAAGCTGGAGTTTGTGGAAAGACTGTAAATACTTCAGTGTACTAATTGGAGCAAGTCTGGCGTATAAAATGTGGACAGACAAAAAGCAATGTTGGCCTCGGGTAACTTCATACTGAATGATGTATGTGACAGTCTTAGCTAGTGAGCAGAAATTATGAATCTGGGGAAAGATGGCTAAAGAAGTGGGTCAGAAAGAGGTGGAGTGAAGCTGACATTGAGCAGCATTAACATAGGAACTGAACTGTGGTTCTTAGTAAGTAAAATAACCCTCATGGTCACTTGATAGAAATAGTTCAACTTGATACTTTTGAAGTTAGAAATAAAGGTTGAGTACAGTGAACATGGTCAATAAGAATGTTAAATTATTAAGAGATGACAGTGGGAACATGACTTATTAAAAGTATTGCTATTAGAATATGGGTTACAAATGTGAAAAATCATTCCAATTTCCCAACAAAAAGTATAGGATGGGGGGAATGTATGCACCATTCCACAAAAAATTCATTTTGGTGCTGACATCCAAATACTGTATGAGTTGGAGCAGGTGCCAGTTTTCAAATATGAACACAAAGGGTGTTTTTATGGTACTCTGTAATGAAATGATGCATGTCATGCAATTGTTTGAGTGATTTTTTTCCTCTCTATTTAGTAACAGCAGACGTCGTCATGACAGTGAAGAAGGGGATAGCCATAGAAGGCACAAACACAAAAAATCCAAAAGAAGCAAAGAAGGAAAAGAAGCCAGCGGTGAACCTGCTCCTGAACAGGAAAACACTGAAGCTGCCCCTGCAGAATAGGCTTGTGTGATTTTTGTCTACTTGCATATATATTAGTGCCAGAAATAGATTACTATAAATCTTGTTATTTTTCTGGGTATTAAAATAATTTGCTCTTAATCTTGTTCTGTTAGTTTGAAATCAAAGTTTACTTTGTTGTTTGGTTTTCTTTTCTTTTCTTTTTTTTTTTTTTTTTTTTTTGAAAATAAAAGAATGAATTTTTCATGTTAAGATTCCTGGACTGACTTTGTCTTTGAAGTGAGAAAACCTCTTAATCAGCTAGAGCCTTATGCTCTTACAGTATATGTAGGGCTTAAGGTATATGTGTTAAAAGTGTCTCCTGTTTTTATAAGCCACCGGGAAGGTCATTGTTTTACTGAATTTAGAAAGAGTGTACATTCACTTTATTATATACCAAAATCTGGAACAGTGTGCGTTTAGTATAACTTTTGGAATTCATATTTGAAAAGGTCCATCTTTTACTACAGGAACAGGCAGGAATTGCAGACTCTTGTCTGCAAGAATCTTGTACTAAGGTGGAATGAAAAAAAGTAGGGAAACTGGGCAAGGTGCTGATTGTTCTTAGTCTGATGGAACACTCTGATACACTTGGTAATTATGTCTGGTTTGTGTGGGTGCATAAGGGTGAATTAATCTGGATAATCATCCCTGCTGCTTTTCAGTGGCTTAAGAGAAAGTTCATGTTAGTCTTTCTTCTAGGGGAACAGCTGTCGTTGACATGGTAAAGATTAACAAATATATCCTCTTCCCATTGCTAGCTTGTGAGGAAAAGTTAACACTTTGGAAAGTGGTTAATTTGCAGAGAAAGGCAAAGAACTATTTTTTAGAAAAAATATAAGACCATCATCACTATCAGAATTCCCATCCTGTGATTGGCATGGTGCTGTTTAGAAGACTTACTTTATGGTGTTAACAGAGTGCAAAGTACAGCCTTAAAAACAATAATTCTGTATTAAAAACCTATCTTTAATAGTGTTAATCAAAGCAGGGAAACTGGGTTGCTTGGTTTTGGATGAAAAGAATGTCTGTACAAGTACACAGTTACAGTTATTTTTTAATTATTTTAGAAATTTAATTCACAGTTTTACAGACTAACAGTACTTGAAAGTCTTGAAAATACCAGCTTCATGCTGACCATGAAAAGGTACACATAATCAAAGTGCTATTACTGTGTTGATAAAAACCTTCACCTCATTTTTTGCAACTAGAAAAAATGGCAAGAAATTGTTCCATAAGTTATTCAAGGATTTCTTTTTGTAAATCAAAATAAAGTGAGTGAGCAGGAGCTGCTGCTCCTGACATTTCTGTATTATTATAATGCATTAAATATACATATATATATATAAAAAAGAAATACAACAAAAAAACCTTTAAGAATATGAGGAAGGAAAGGCTTAAGTCTGTAGCTTAAATCACTCCGAAGTGATTTTCTGACAGATGTCCCTGCTTTGCCTAAATTTGACTTTTCTTGACATGCAGATTGAAATTTCACAAGCCTTTTCTTTATAAATACATACTTGACCTTCCCCAAAAGCAAAACCTGATGTTCCTCTCCAGAGAGTTGTTTTATAAAAAAGTGCCTGGCCAGGACACAATTGTGAGAGTAATTTTCCCCTTCAGTTCTTTGAGCATCCGTGCCAAGCAGGCATGCAGCATTCCTGATGTGTTCCTGCCATTGACAGCAAGGAGGATGTCGCCACATCTGAAAAACCAAAGGCAAATATGAGAACAAATTGAACGACGTTACTTCTTCTCTTAAAAGTCTGCAAATGCTAAAGCATGTGCTTGAAGTGGGAGGAAGGGGTAGAAATGAGTATTTCTATTCCTTCTCTAGCTAAATACCGTTCATGAATAAGGGAATAAAGCAGATGAAAATACTTGGGTGTTGGTTTTTTGGTTTTCTGCTTAGAACTTAGACAGGTTTGAAAGAAAATAAGATACAGTCCATTCAGATAGGAGTGATCCATGTTCTGAGCAACCTATGGTTTTTAAGACTTCTCAATTGACGTAAGTTTGCTCCATGATTCTGCATTCACTCTTTTAAAATGTATTTGTGTTTGCAGAAAGGGTGGTTGGTTGGGTTTTTTGGAGCTGGGGGGTGGGAAAACTGCTCTGAGCTGGCATGCTTTGTGCTACCCCAGAGATCAAACTGACTTATCTTTATACTTACATACTAGTGATTGCAAGACAGCTGGACACATGCTACTATGAAGGCAAACCTGTTAAAGTTCAGGACACTTATATCTTATTTCCATATCTGGCAGAGTTAGTTCTGTATCAATGAGCTTTTCTCCCCACACACAGAGTCTTCATGAAAAGTAGTTTTAACACACACACCCCCCCACCCACCCACCAATGAACTAGATGAAAGACTTAAATGCTACATTTCATTAGTTATCTTTACCTAATTCTTCCATCATTATATGCTGGTGTTCCCCCAACGATGGATTTGATGAAGAATGGTTTGTTTCCAGTGTGTTCTTCGTAACCTCCTACGATGCTGAAGCCAAGACTTCCAGATGTATTTCTTCGTAATACGATTTCTTTGCAGCTGTACAAATACCTGAAACAAACCAGACTAGTTAAATGTCTTAACTTCAGATTCTGATAAACCATTAATGATGAATCTGCCTTTTCATACACCCACAGAGTGTCTTCAAGGTACAAAATAGCAGCAAAGTTCCACGGTATTAGAACACCGATGCTTACTTCTGTTTTTTGTATTGCTGCTTGCCACAACCACAACCAGTTATCCTGAAAGCAAAATTACTTGTAATCTTGGGGTTAAAATAGCAAATGAGTTGTTTCAGAGGGTAAGAATTTATGCAAATAATCTAGTTGCAATTGAAAGTGATGGAGAAAAACTGTTCATGAATAAAGGAATAAAGCAGGTGAAAATACTTGGGTGTTGTTTTTCCCCATTCTTAGAACTTAATTAGACAGGTTTGAAAGAAAATAGGATATAGTTCTTAGGTGGGAGTGATCCATGTTCTGAACAAACTATGGTGTTTAAGACTTCTCAGTTGATTTAAGCTTGATCCATAATCCTGCATTCGCTCTAATGAAATGTATTTGTGTTTGCAGAGGCGGTGGTTAGTTGGGTTTTTTTGAGCCAGGGGGTGGGAAAGCTGCTGTGTGCTGGCATGCTTTGTACTACCGCACAGATCAAACTGACTTATCTTTATATTTACTCATATAAATATATGCATATATATATCTATATCTGTATATAGATATATATATGCATATATATAAATATAGTGTATATATATATATGCTAGACACAGCAACTCAGCTGAGACTGAATTTAATATTCATAAACTATTATGCCAAAACCTGTATTTCATTTACCTTGTGTTTCATCATTACATCCTATGACTTGTTTTATCTTCCAGATAAGAGTCTGTGTGTGATTAACTGTGTCAAAAGTGGACAGGCATTTATCATTGTGGCACATGTTGAAGCTAAGTAATTTCAAGGCCAGTGAAATGGGCCAGAATTACAAAAATCAGAGATGACACAGCATGGAAGATGAGAGAAGGCTATCCATGCCAGTCAGAGCTTTGGAGTACTGAGGCTGCTTGTCCTCACTATAGTGATAAACACTAGATTATTATGGTAAGAGAGCTGAAATCAGCTTCTCCCTCCGCTTGTCATTTGAATGTATGTTATGATACTGTAAGTTATGCTGAGTCAAAGCTGAAACAAGGAATAGAGGAAAGCAAGAGTAACAAGGTTATTAGAGTCTTACACTTTACCTATTGCACTTAATTTCAATACCTGCTTTGTTTCCTTTTTCTTAACCAAGCGGGAAAAGAAGAATTAATTGCATTAGTTACAAAGCAACAGAAATGTTTGTCAGTAGCGGTTAACCTACTCATTGTTAGTGGTACCCAGGAATGATTGAAGAGTCTGAAAATCCTTTTGCTATTCCTAATCTGGAGTTATAGCCTAGTCTATGGCAAGCAACTGTTACAAGCTCTATTCAGAGACTCAAGGTTTCTAAGGAACAGCTGGCACTTCTTCTGTAGAGGGATAAATATCTTAAAGACCAATATGTCTAGCTTTTTAAAAAAATTATTTGTCAAATAATGCTTTTGCAGTATTTCACAGTAGGGTCTTATAGTAATACTAGATTAGTCCCCTGGGACCTACAAATATTCACCTGCTGCCAGGGTGGTAGGTATATAATATTTGCACAAGAATTCACTGGCTGCTAATGTAAGAAACAGGTGACGTTTGCTTTTTTCCTCAGCAGCCAGGCATTATTACTTTACCATCTGTGGACTTCTTTAATCTGCAAAATCACTTAAACCCTCTATGTTTGATGGTACTTATCAAGGTCATGACCAAGTGATGCCAGGATTCAGCTATTAGTGCTCTTACCTAGTGTTGATTTTGGGGAGCAGGGGCTTGGTGCTACACTCGGTGCCTTCAGGAGGACATTCGGCTAAAGCCTAACACTATAGAAAATAAATAGCTGAGCAGGTTAAGACAGGAGAAGAGAACACGGTGAAGACAAACAAAGCTTACATGTGTTCTGTACATGCAGTCTGTAAGGTTACTGATTACATGGTCTTCATCAGTCCAGAAAGCATAAATTGTTAGTAAAGCGTGTGCTGAATCTAATTAAAATAGACACAGCATACCAGCATAAGGACTGTTCTCTCTGACGAAGTAGAGGAAACACATGGAAAGCTAGGAGCAGCAGAGAGCTGCTGCTGTCCTGACTCTAGTGCCCTGTGCTGCATTTTGCCTTACGGAAGGGATAAGGTGTAACTGTGATGGCAAAGAAGTGAGGTAGGCAAGAGGAGAGGTGCTGGTTATGGGAAAATGGGAGGAAAGGGTTTTTCCCCAAGTGTTTCTTGTTTTTCATTCCTGATGCCCATGTTGGAAATCAAGTGTTTTGAGTTAAATTCTCCAACCAGGACTGTTTTGCCCACAACAAAATGTAAATGGTGAGTGATTTCCCTGTCTTTACTTTGATAAGTCAATTTTCTCACTCTTCTTCTTTGTATATCCTCTTGTCTTGCTGGGGGTGTTGGACTGTGTGGGTGTTTGGTGCATCCGGGGTCCAACTGCTCACAGAGGCCATAGCCTGAGGAGTGGATAGGTGGTGTGGAAACAAAAGCCCCAGTCTGTGTGTTTTGATCCAGTTAAACTGCCATAACTCACTAAACTGCAACTGGTCCAAGGAGAGCCATCTTCTGCCTTG